TATGAACAGGTGAGCTGGGCTTGGTTGCCTCAGTCTTTATGTGGAAAACTGTCTCAATGTGAAATTCAACCGCATTATTACAACACAAGACGTAGTGTTAGAGTGTAGTTACTCTGTTTATTCTTAAAATACTTAACTTACAGGCACAATATATACATAGGCCTACTGTTTGTTCCAACAGCTTCTTAAAAACACAAGACCTGCCCCGCAGCAATCAGCTGACAGACAGTTAGAGACCAGCTGGTCAACACAGAGGAGCCTTTAGCAGGTTATTCTCTCAGGACGGAAGACAAATCCTGAGCTAAAGGATGGTGAATATTAGAGTTACATTCAACAGGGGAATACAAAATAAATAGAATTAAAGACATTTAATGCTGCTCTGTGTCTGCTGGATATGTAAACTATTTGCTAACATCTTAATAACTATAATAACACTATAAGGTGATCACATGTCAGTGTGTCTTTACAGCTTGTTCTGCTGCCTCTAAGTTGCTTAAAGAAAAGTATGCAGTTTGAAAACTTTAAAAAAGCATTGGCTAATTTCAAAATTTCAGTTTAAAATCTTCAGTATTCTTGGTAAATAATCTGGTAGAAATTCACGCACAAACGGTGTCACATAGCCTATGCCAACAAATACTTTTTATTATAGGTGATGAAATGAAGACTTTAAAAATAATTTTGTGACTGACCTAAAGCTTGGGCTACGTGTTCTACAGCAGTAAAACCTTTTACAGAACATAAATGATAGGCCTGTGTTTCAATATAGAGAGTACGTCCGTTCTCATGCTGGTGTGCTGCAGTTTACCTCTATGTTGTAGCTCTGTAGAGTCGCCAAAGCGCTGTCTTGCTCTCCCGTCTCCATTTGCTCTATGATGGCATTTAAATCCATTTTCATCGCCATCGCAGCTTCCTCTTGAATTCACTGTTAAAGAATGCCTCTGTGTTTGTGTATCTGTCACGCAGATTGTTTAGGCCTACGCGCTATCGTTTGTCACCACACACAGATGACTGCACGGTGTCTGAATCCCGACCAGCCGGTAAGAAGCAATTAACGGAGAGGATTAGTGCAAGCGAACTGCTGCGTTCAAGTGTCCCAGGGAAAGACGGAAGAAACGTATTTCCTGATCAAAGTATTTGCATAGGCCAATTGGTGGGAATTTACGAACTTTTATTGAATAATAATAATGGAAGGAAAAATAAACCCACGTCACTATAGCCTATATAGCAGATATTTTGATATGTCACAGAAGAAAAATAATAGGTGTAATTAATAATGACTGAATTCCGTTTAGCTACTTCAGTTTTGGAGTCCTGGTATTGTCCTTACTCCCTGTCAGGCTTTCATGGTGTACTGGTCAAATGTACCGTAACCTCCTGTTTATATAATTATACAAAAATAATCAAATTATAGCTAATACCTGACTAGGAAGGCATTGAAACCTAGTGTATATACAATGAACATCTGTAAAGTAATTTTTAAAGCCCCTCCTCCTTATTTTCTTTTTCTGTGGTCCTTACTATTTGCTTTGCTCCCTTCACCTATTTGTACAGTACTCTTGTGTGAGAGGTGGGTGTCATTTCTGCATTTATAGGTGGAACAGTTTCTTCACTGCAACTATCAATTTATACAGTATATCAAAGCTACTAGGCCAAAGTTAAATTCTAAAACAATGCATGTTCATTGGACAAGACCAATAAATCTGTCCATTATAACAGATGTGAAGAGGTATGATGTGTTAATTACACCAAAGCAAACCGTACTTCATATCATAAACTTGAGTTTGTTATTGACATTACAGTTTGCCTTACAGTAAAATATCATGTTGTGTTGATGCTTAAGGGGAATATGATGGTTATACAATTGCACTGCACATGAATGTGCATAAACATGTGTCATAACTGTGCCTGACTTCCTTCCTTTTGCTACTTTGGATGTCAAATAGCACCAAAGCTAACGTTAGAAATGTTCACTTGTAGTTTGAGGACATTTTTAGCCACATCAGACATGTAATCCTTGAAATGCACACAACACCAACAGAACACCTTTTTTGGACTTGAGTTGGACAAAATGGCTTGAAAACTTGAGAATGCACAAGCGCCACACACCCTCAAAAGTACAGGTTTTGTTTAGTTTATAAAGTGCTTGTAAAAGATTCAAGAAGTTGAACAGTAAATACATTCAGTATAACAAATCAAAAACGATGAGACTTCATATCAGGAGAAAATTAACAATCTTGCAGAGTGGTGGAGAACAACCTACTACTCAACATCAGCAAAACCAAGGAGAGAAAGACACACACTCATGTCTACATCAGTGGAGCTGAGGTGGAGCAGGTGAACAGTTTCAGGTTTCTGGGAATCAGCACTGAGAGAGAACCTGACATGGTCATCTTACATCTCCACGCCGGTGAAGAAAGCTCAGAAATGACTGTATGCCACGCCAAGTTCTTGTCAGCTTTTACAGAGGAGCAATAGAATCATCCTGACTGGAAACATCACTAACATGGGATGTGCACGGCTCAGGACCAGAGGGCTCTGCAGCGGGTGATTAAACCTGCTCAGAAGATCATTGGTACCCATCTCCTGAGCATCAGTGATATCAGTGAGGTGAGGTGTCTACGCAGAGCCCAAAGGATACTAAAGGACAGTACCCACCCAGCCACAGCCTGTTCACCCTGCTGCCTTCTGGGAAGAGATATAGAAGTTTCTGCTGCCGCACCACCAGACTGCAGAGCAGCTTCACCCCCAAGATATCAGACTCTTAAACTCTAATTCATCCTCAGCACTGCTCCATGTGAAATTTTTGTATATAATTTTTGTAACATTTGCTCTTTGAAGTTTGCGGTTGACACTTATAGGTGGGAGATCGACCACTGGTGACCTGGTGCAGTCAGAACAGTCTGGAGCTCAACGCTCAGAAGACCATGGAGATGGTAGTGGATTTTAGAAAGAGCACAGCCCCACCCTCCCCCATCATCCTGTGTGACTCCTCAGTCACCACTGTGGACTCCTTCCACTTCCTGGGCACCATCATCTCCCAGGACCTCAAGTGGGAGCTGAACATCACCTCCATCACCAAGAAGGCTGAGCAGAGGATGTACTTCCTGCGGCAGCTGAAGAAGTTCAGCCTGCCAAAGACAATGATGGTGCACTTCTAAACAGCCATCATTGAGTCTTCTTTACCTCCTCCATCACCATCTGGTACGCTGCTGCCACTGCCAGGGACAAGGGCAGGCTGCAGCGCATCATTCGCTCTGCAGAGAAGGTGATTGGCTGCAATCTTCCTTCTCTTCAGGACCTGTACTCCTCGAGGACTCTGAGGCGAGCAGGAAAGATTGCAGCTGACTCCTCCCACCCCGGACACAAACTGTTTCAGACTCTCCCCTCTGGCAGGAGGCTGCGGTCCATCAGGACCAAAACCTCTCGCCTACAAAAAAAGCTTCTTCCCGTCTACAGCTAGCCTCATTAACAAGGCCTGACACTCCCTCCTTGCAAATACTGTATATCTTTGCACATGTATTATCAATGTAACACCTGGGATATTGCACATATTTGTTGTTTTGTGTTAAGTGTTAATCGATATGCTTATATATTTTATATTTTGTCAATTTATATATTTATATGATCTGTTTATTCCATATTTATATATTTCTACATTTATTTATGTCAATTGTATGTTTGTCTATGTGTAGCACCTTATCTCCAAAGCAAATTCCTTGTGCGTGTAAAAAGCTGCTTGGCAATGAAGCTCTTTCTGATTCTGACTGTCTGAAACATAAAGGGAACTACAAACTGCATCTCATTATACAACCCTGTGTTGTTAAATGACAAATGGCATGAATCTACATGTACTGTGTATACCTTGGGGTCAGCATGTGTGATAAAATAAAATAATCTCAACTCAAAGATCCACAACTGCATCTTCATCAGAAAATTGAACTGATTTATTGTTCATACATACTATTAATTCAGATTAAAATATCTGAAGAACACAAAGACTTCCTTCCAAGACATCCATGTATCTATTTGTTGACATGATTAATTAATTTATTAGGAAAAAGATTGGCAGATACATTAATTCATAATAAAAAACCTATGTACATCTGTCATATATATATATATATATATATATATATATATATATATATATATATATATATATTACTGGGGGTAACAAATTGAATATTCAATCAAGTGTGTCCTCTTTGGGACAATACCAAAGAGAAGAATAGCAAATGACTTTCAACAAGCATGGTCACATATGTTGAAGAGTATGAATTGCTGTATTGTCCCAACAACAATAAACCCTGATTACAATGGCAATCATGTTTACAAATGTTAGTATTTTTCTTATTTATGGCCTACAACTTTTTCAGATTGCAATCCTTATGTTAGCCAAAAAGCAGTAAGCGTTTTCAGTTTTCAAATTAAATTAGGTTTTGAGTTATCATCAGTAAAAGAGAAGAATTAGAGTGTTTACTTGGTTACACCATAGACTGTATATAAAAAGGGTTTCACCTCACCTAATTTAATCTGCTTTCGAGACGAAGCCAAAGGCGAAAAAAATCCCCAAATTATGTCAACTGGTTTTGACCCACCACCCTCGTTTCTCGGCGAGAAGGGCGTGCTCGAACTCTGCGAGTATGTTCGATTAAGCTTGCATTGTAAACGTGCGAGCGGGGTCATGTTTTACATTAACCATATTTCACCTGAATAGGATTACATAGCAAAGAGGCTACACTATGTTCTTTTTACTTACTCTGCTAACTTACTACATGAGTGTAACTACATATATACACTTAAACAAATAAAACAGTATAAACTCCGCTCTTCCGGGCCACAGAATATTTAAACTTCGTTTAAATGACGCCATGAAATGGCACATTCTGCAGCCAATAACACCTCTGGGCCTGGTTTGAGCGATGGGAATCCAACCAATAGTTTTTCTGTAACAGTTTGAGTGACAAGCACTGTAGCTGTAGTGGGGGAAGGGGTAGCTGAAGTTGACGGAACCGCCATCTTGAAAAGTGCCCTCGGATGATCTACCTTTTCGCGCCTATCAGAATCGGTTTTAAACGCTTTATTTTCCTTACCGGAATTTCGTGTTATCTCGATGTTCGTTTTGTTAAGGCCGGAGGCTAATGGCAAGATAAGCTACCTGCTGGAGAGTCGCCGTTTACCGTTTTCTGTCGGTAGGTACACTTGCTAGCCCATGCACTTGGTTGGTGCTGAAGAGACGATTAGCCAGCAGTCTTCAGATAGCCGGCTAACGTTAGCTGGCTATCAAGAAGCATAGTTGGCCATCTTAACAGTATGCTGTCAGACGCTCTCGGTGTACGTCTAGCTAGGACAAGGGTAACATTAACATTGCATATCACTGTTATTAGGAAGGGATGGAAACCATAGCGACATATAGTTCGCCAGCCTGTCCGCCAATCAACGTTAGTCTAATTCACTGATATTTGTTAACTTGACGTAAGTTAACGTTAGTCCCTGTCGTTAGTTGGTTCCTGATTTAAGGTGGCCAGGTTAGCTAACGATAGCTAGTGACGTTAGCCAGTCAACCATAGCCGGGGTGTTTCTGTTACGTTAGCGGCAACGTTAGTCTGTTTTGGGCCTTTAACTGTTATTTATATATATATATAATTTTAAATGGACTGACGTTCCAGCAGACGTATAATTTCGACTACCAAACGCTAATAATGTTCTAAAACGTTAACGTAAACCTACATAAGCCGACAATAGCTTGAATTAGCTCATAATATTTGCCTGGCGTTTCAACCTATATTTATCCGAAATCAAAGCTAGTGTAACAATTGTTAACAATTTAACGTTACCGTTAACGTTACTAACGTTACTGTAATCTGAGACAACTGCGTCTTCGACAAGATCACTTGATTGGTACGGAATTAATGGCTGAAATTAACCGTGTAGTTAATTCTGTGTGTATATGATATAACATTAGCTGCTGTGTTGATTTTAAGAAAGGAAGTGCTGTTGTCTGTCTATTTTTTTTGGCATGCGCAAACTATGTATGTTGGGAATTTACCAGCTAAATGTATCAAAACTGTCAGTAACGTTAGCTAGTTAGTGTCTAGATCGATTTTGTTTGGGTCTCGTGACAGTGTCTGTCAAAGCACCCAAAGCTGTAAAAGTTTTCCTGTTTTGGTTGTCTAGAGTATTTTATTACTATTGGCCTTTGGCATATGTCTCACTGTTATTTTGTTGATTCCGTGGCTAACGTTAATTAAGGTTTCACTGTGATGGAAGGATATATTTTATTCCTTAAGACTTTATGTATTTTGTAGTTGGAACACTTTAGCCAGTGGTGGAAAGCTGTTGCCGAGTACAGAAAAACACAACCTAAAACAAAATCAGGAATGTACTTATTATAGTATGATTATGACTAGCCACATTTTAGTGTTGACATTAGTTTTGACCTCCCAGTGGCTAGTATCTGTTATGTTTATCAAACATATCTGTGGCATTCTCTTGTTATCATTTTGCTGTTCATTATAAGTAAGAATGGGGTTTATGCACCAGTTTACACTTTCCCTTTTTATATGCATCTACTGTCAACAGCAAATCACTGTTTAAGAGATTCTTTCCCAATAACTTGTTTTCTTGTGTATATTTAGAATGAAACATTGTTTTGTGAAGCGTAGCTGTTTTGACCGGTTGTGCTTGCGGTTGGAAAATATTGTAGAATGTATATAAATGTCTATTTTTGACAAACTCTAGGTATTTTGGTATTCACTGTTTATTAATTTGTCGGTGAACAATGAAAAGAACACTAATATTTTACAACCATATCACCATGTCGTTAAGTTACCTGTAGTTTCAGATGTACGCGCCATGTTTTGATGCGGCACAGTCTGTGTATTCCAGAAGATGCTTGAAGCGGTCTCATCCCCTACTCTATCACAGTGGAAAAGATAATGGCAGAAGTAGGGCTGCACTTAATCGATGAAGAAAACAATTCTTATATTTGATTAGTCGATTAATCTTAATAAAAGGCTTAAGTTATCGATAATTCTAAAAAAAAAAAATGTATTACTCCATTAATATAACAATTAAGTTATCCAAAATAAATATCAAAAACCTGTCTCATTAATATTTAAATATTTTATTCAGTCATTATCATAAAGAGACATAAGAACACTCAGAATAATGATAACAGTGGCTTATCTTAAAATGAGTCTAATTTCCACGTCCCTGCTGTGTTGTGATCTCTCTAATAAAGGAACAAATCTCTTTCTGTTTGTCTGTTTGTATTTTGATTATGTCAGGAACAATCGACTTCAAACGTGGCGGGTGTGTTGCTGCAGACCCAAGTGCAGTGTCGCGTTTGGTGCAATTTGAAGCGCAACATGTTCAGAATTAATAAATGTGATAGAAAACAGCTCTGAGTGGATCTCTGCAGGGAGCGCTCACTGGGGCACAGCGAAACTGCTCATGCAGGCAAGGCTTATGCTGCTCTGCAACAGCGAGACCGAGGTATGCTTACTGGGACGGGGCTTATACGATCCGATGTGGTAGTGAATTGTTGAAACAGAGTTATCGTCATCATGCAGGTTTAAAATGTTAGAAACAAATGTGTTGAAATGGAGTTGTAAGAGTTTTCTGAAGTTCTAAAGTAGGGCTGCAGCTAACGTTGATTTTTAGTATTCGAAGCTTTGATAGATTATTTCAACGTTTCATCAATGCGTCGTTTAAGAAGTACTTTTGCTTGGCGGCGGCAGTCAAACCACGTTTTGTCAAAAAAACACACGTGAAATGTGAAACGGGAAATAAGCAATCCTGCACACAAAACAGCTGTTTATTATATAGATGGCAGTTATAAAGACAAAGAATCTGGGTGAAAGGATGGATTAGCATACGCAGGTAGCAGGGATTGTCTGAGCTACAGAGAGAGCTGGGGTTGAGTTAAAAGGTGCAGCTCCCCGACACCCAGTAAACTCATGACTCTGAGGTTCCAACTCACGGCCCAAAAAGGAGATCAACAAACGCACATGAACATTTTCAGCTGAGGACTGCGGCTTACTTTGGCTTCAACTCAACAATCAATCATGATTTCAGTTAAATGCTAAAGTTGCTGTTAACTTGTCTGTGGTCCGCTGGCAGCACACCGGGTCCTTTCTGATCAGGTGCTGTTGCGGTAGGCGACATAAGTTTTGTTTTATGGTGGACAGATGGTAACATTACAGAATTGTTTTCTTTCATCTTGAAATAATCCCATACTTTGGACACTTTCTTCTTCGCCCCTCGCTATTTTCTCTCTCTTCCTCCAATTTGCCAACAGCGCCATTATACGTCATGTTCACTGCATCAGCGTGATGTGCGACAGTAATAAATATTCATGGGAAACACTGCTGTAAAATTACATGGATTAAACGAAACATTTTATTAATCAATGAATCGTTTCAGCCCTGGTTCTAAGGACGCGCTAAATATCTAGCAGTATCTCCGCCATTGTCATGTTGTTTCAGTGTTATTAATGCTGTTTTAATGAACTGGTTAGCTCAGTCAGTAGTACGCAGGCCTTTCAAATGCGCAGGCCATGTATGCGTCCGCTCCAGAGTATATTCGAGGCTTTAAGTGGAAGTGGTTATGTGAGTAACTTGCTGACATGACTGAGATCTGTTTTAGCACCAGCCACTATCAAAGTATTTATGTATTTAGCCTGTGTGCTGCATCTTGCTGACCCCTGCTGTAGATGAAACCAATGTGAAACGCACATTTTGAACAAAAAGCGCAGGGAGGCGTCACATCGGACCCTGTGAACAGGCACTGCACTAAAATTTATAATAACATATTGAATGATGAGAGGAAGCTAGCCAAGCATTGAGTGTTGCCATGCTCCCACAGTGTGCAAGTGAACATTTGTAGCGCATAGTTTTATTATCGTAGGAAATTTTAGTAGCGGCGGTCATGATTCAGCAGCGGCGGTGCGCCACTGCTGAATGCATATAGGGGAAACACTGTTGTAGCCTTTCCTATTTCGTTGCTGCTCCGTTGTTGCTGCTGCGGTGGTCTTAGTAACTGGGACTAGAGGGCTCTGTGGGCGTGACTGGCACCGCTAACCTCGCTCGTGTTTGTGGAGCTTCTCAACCCCGAAAACGTGAACACATTTTCGATTCGCCATCAACTTTAATAAAACTGCCAAATTCAAGTTCTACACAGTAGATTTCTCCCCTCAAAACCTTTCAAAAGAGTATTTAGTGACTAGATAGCATAAAAAACAAAAAACAGTTCTGCTGAATGCTTATTCTTCATGAGTAGGGCCTGTGTCCACCAAAGCGTTTTTCCCTGAGGCCAGCGTCAATGGGATTGATTGCAATGGGAGCGCCGCGTTTTTACAACACGGTAAAAAACGGTAGCAGCGTGAGAAGGCGCTGAGTGTCTTGACGACAAATCATTGTAGCCCCACTGACATGTTTGCAAAGTTTGAGTTTTTGAGCATGTTTTGGTCCGCCAAAAATGAGTTTACTTAAAAAATAAATAAATAATTCCTTTAGTTTTTTTAGGGACCTTGCATGTTTCATGCTCGGGCCCTAATGAGAATTGCTATATCCTCATTAAAACCAGTGAAACGTTCCTTCAGCATTTCTCCATCTGTTTCTGTGTCTGCGCCTTACAGGTGTTTGCTGTTGAACTACTGTATGTGTGCTGTTTATCAGTCCGTCCATCACCGCTGTCTGCCTGCCTGTCTGTTCTTCCGGCTAGCCTGGAATGGGCCACAACTCCCAAAGACTAGAACACACTTCTTCATAACCTGAGCTCTGCCGTCTGCACAACATACTCACAGGTAGGAAGAAGAAAGAGCTGTTCAGTGATCCCTCAGTTAATTATTATAGTCATCTATTATATTCTCTTAACCTCTGATGGAAGATGTAATTTTGTATTATTTTAATGACATGTGCTGTTGGTGACTTTTTCACAAAATCTTTTAGAAGTCACCATGTTTTGGAAGTTTGACCTCCACACCACATCCCACATTGACACGCTATTAGAGAAGGAGGATGTGACGCTGACCGAGGTGATGGATGAGGACGATGTCCTGCAGGAGTGCAAGGCCCAGAACCATAAACTGGTTGACTTCCTGCTGAGACCACAGTGCATGGAGGACCTGGTCACCTTCATCACACAGGAACCCAATACTGATGTTGAGGAGAAGGTTAAATACAAGTAAGAGGAAATGCAATTTGACACATACGTAGACATCTCTCCAAGTCCCCCTTAGTTCTCCCTTAGTATTGCAGCCATCATTTTGCCATTTTGGATATATGTGCTGTTAATGGTTGTGCAAGCTCACAGAAAACACTACAACTGTAGGCATTGGCCCAGCATATTTTGCAATTACATAATGTTCATTTAAGGATTTCCCATGGTTCACTGCAGTGCACAATAAAAGCATGTTGGTAATCATAGTATTTAAACTAGAGCCAGACAAATATGGGTTTTTGGGGGCCGATACCAATATTAAAGTGAAAAAGAGCCGACTTATAACATATTTAGATTTTGAAAATGATTTGGATAGTAGACCGTATAAACTACACTCAGGACGATATTGAAAGCTGCTCTGTATGTGGGCCATAAAACCTTTTCCTAAATGGATTATGTTAATAAAATAGATTGTAGTCTCAACAACTTAAGATGTAAACAATTGCTCGTCAATAAATATTTGCTCTTTTTCAGCCATCTGTAAACAGAGAGAGCGAGAGAGAATAAGCATGTGGATTTAACCTTACACATAATCTGCCATAATATCTACTTTCAATGTAGCATATTCACCTCTAGTTTATTATTTTACCAGCACTCTTTAATTCTAACCAAATCTACGAGAAACCATTTTTCAACCACCATCGGTCTAAAACATGCTGTCCATGATACAGTGACCTGCTGTTGAATGCATCTACACTGAACAAAATTATAAACGCAACACTTTTGTTTTTGCCCCCATTCATCATGAGCTGAACTCAAAGATCTAAGACTTTCTCTATGTACACAAAAGGCCTGTTTCTCTCAAATATTGTTCACAAATCTGTCAACAATCTGTTTTTAGTGAGCACTTCTCCTTTGCCGAGATAATCCATCCACCTCACAGGTGTGGCATTTCAAGATGCTGATCAGACAGCATGGGGATTGCACAGGTGCGCCTTAGGCTGGCCACAATAAAAAGGCCACTCCAAAATGTGCAGTTTCACAAGAAGGAAGATGCTGACTGATGTCATGTCCTTGAGGTCTCGTCCTACCAAATAACCATCACCAAATAATAATGCATAGATAGTGGTATTGATAAAGACTTGGATTGTTATGTAGTCTCAATAAAAAACAGAAAAACATCCCTAGTTGTTAATGACATGTTTGAAGTGTTCCCTCAAACTTTCCAGACTTCATTACAACAATGTCTGCATACTAATCATAACAGGGAAACTGTAATGCTCCCGTACAGTGGATCTAATGATCCTCCGGTTCTGGCCTCTTGTGTTTGGCATTCAGAGGCAGTGACACTACGAGCTTGACTAACCCCTCTAAGCACTTATAGAGAACAACCGGTGTACTGCCAGAACTTTCTGGGTAACACTTGTGCAGTAGAATTTCTGTTCTGTGTGAGTAGGAGACCTAAATAGACATTTTTTTGAGTCACAAGGTGTACCGAACCGAGGCAGTCACATACCTAATGGTTATGGAAGAATACACGTACTGTTACACCCCTACCGTGTAGATGGAAAAAAGGCTATTTAAATGGTGGTGTTATAATCACAGTAGTTTTATGCATTGCAATGACTAATGAGAAAATCACAATCCTGTTGGTGCAGCCTAAATGTGGGCTTGTGGAAAAGCGTAAGGAGCAGAGGAGCTGTAGATGTTAGATAGGACTAAGGAAACTTTGAAAGTAACAGAAACAAATCCTGCCAGACGTTTTTGCACCTTTTTAATCCATCATGACATAAATCAGTTGTAAACTAAAACATTTGTAGCTTTCATTTGTTTCAGAATTAAGTCTGAAGAACAAGTTAGTTTGCAACATTAGCCATCCAAAGCTGATCAGCAAGATCCAGCAAAGGTGTTACACCCAATTGTTCTTAGTTTCTCTTCCATACTGATTATTTGCGATTATTGGCACCACCAGTTTGTTAGAGTACAGCAGATTATTTGAAATCTCTTGCTGCTTTCATGAAGAATCCCTATAGTTTTCCAGTGTAGTCCAGTGTAAACTTTTTGTCACAGTATTGTAACCGTTGTGTTGGAAACATCTAAGGAACTGCTTTTGCTCTCTTCCAGGTATCCCAATATATCATGTGAACTGCTTACATCAGATGTCAGCCAGATCAATGACAGGCTAGGGGAAGATGAAAAACTGCTGATGAAACTGTACGGCTTCCTTCAGAATGAGCCACCTCTCAACCCGCTCCTGGCCAGTTTCTTCTCCAAGGTCTTGTCCATTCTTATAGGACGCAAGCCTGAACAGGTAAATCAGCCAGAAGAGGGTGTTGTGTGTGAGAATGGGATAAAAGTTGTCATCTTATTTGGGCTGGGGCGATTGATTATGGTAATATGTCCATTTGCATAACATTCATTGGCTCGTCACAATGAAGTACTGCACCTGGTCTAAGCAGGGATTCCCCGGAGAACAAGCTGCAACTTAAAAACCTCGCCTTCCACCATCTGAAGTTTGGGAGTATTTTAGACCCAACAGTGTGGTGCTCTGTAAGCTCTGCAGACTGGAAGTGGCTTTTCACAAACACTTTAGGCTGCACGAACATGAAGAAGAACAATCAGAGAACTTCATCAAGACAGCAGCAAGACAGTAGAGCAAATTGTGTTTCCTTCTGTCCCCCACAAGCCTGACATATTCAGGCATGCAAACTCCTCATCTTTTTTGCCAAATTTGCCATTTTGAAACCTAGATGAGTCACCTGCATGATTTGTGCAGATCCGATGAGGAAAATATGGGGCGTCGGAACCATTGTATTTTTAAGACCAATAATAATTATTAATTGTAGTTATTATTAATTATTATTAATAATAGTTATCAAATCCATTCCACTCGTGGAATGCACTAATAAATTAAACTCATTCCGCGTTTTAGCTTCAGCCTTGACTTCAACCTACTCCTCCTTCAAATCCATTCCACTTGGCTCATTCAGAGTCCATACACGTTTCACTACTCGCGACACAGCGAGGTAAACAAAGCATTTTAGCTTAGCTGCTGCTCAGGTGGGACCAGTCATGGGTCTGGCTATGTGCTCACATACTGTCACTAAACAAGCTGCTGTTTAAGTGACTGTTCATCATTTGTTCGCCTGTTGCTTTTAAAGGCATCATGTAGTCTTTGTTGCAGCACTGAATTTCAGTTACACTCAAACTATGTTTTTACATAAGTTATCTGATGTTTTTGCTAGGCTAGCTACGTAGCTAGTTATCCTGTATCTTTTTTTTAATATTTGCAATAAATAAAGTATTTCAATAAATAAATTATCAATAAAGAAGCTCAGTCACGTCACACATGTTGTGTTGTAATGTTCATTTTAGTCTCTTCACTCTAATAGAATCTTTTAGACCTGTAGGAAACATGGCAGTTGTACTGATTTTAAGGTGTGTATGGTTTGTTTTCTTTGTCTTTATAGATAGTGGATTTTCTGCGGAAGCAGGAGGACTTTGTAGACTTGATGATCAAACACATCGGGACATCTGCCATCATGGATCTGCTGCTCAGAATGCTCACCTGCATTGAACCACAACAGCTACGACAGGATGTTCTCAGCGTGGGTAGTGGCATTGTTGTGCAAGTTCACCCTTCATAAGAGCTAGCTCAAAGTTCAGTTCATACAGCTTAAAATGAACAAGTCCCTGTTCACAGTACCGTCACATGTTCATACGTACACGTACAAAATGCTGCGACTTCGGTGGAGGAACTTTGCAGCTGCTGGCCTGTGATCTTAACCTTTTGTTAATGATTTCTTGTGAACATCATTCCCTTGCAGATATTTCCCAAAACTGGTCGGATGCTTCAGCTGGATGTGTCGATTGAAATTTGTTGTTGATGTTGCACCAAGATCTGTGACCTATCAGATTGTGTGACCTAAATGGGAAGTTAAGCCAATAGACCTTTCTACCAGAAAGACTTTCTAACAACATATAGTTAATGTTGTGAAACAGGCGCAGCTTGGTTAGATTTAGGCAGTAAAACTACTAGGGTTAGGTTTAGGAAAAATGGATGTTTTGGTTTAAGAATCTTATGGATCACAGAATTTGGTGCAGCACCTGTCCAGCACGCCAGGTGACGTAAAACACAGTGTGTGAGCTAACAACGCTAACAAATTGTGTTTTTACGTCACCTGGCACCTTCATTAGTTGCAAACGGATACACTCAGCTGAACGTTAACTTGAGCATGTTCAATGAACGCAGTGTTTTACATGCACCACGCAGTAGCCGCACAACACTTTCTCAGCTGCGATTTTTATTTTTTGCGATTTAATATGCAATTAATTTTTTACCTTCTGTATTATTCAAAATGGACAAGCAGTAAATCAGTGTATAGTATGACCAACATAATATTATTAGAAGAAATATCAAATAATTTGAGTGTCAAGTCATGGCATTAATTAATTTGATATAATATCAGGTCAGCCTACCTGAAGACAAGAAAAGCACAGTGTGTTATACAGTAAGCGCTCAATACAAAACTCGCATATCAACCACCAATTAATGCGTCCTTTTCTCTCAGGAGTCCATCTTTCTATATTCCAGTAAGCAAACAAAAAATACTCAGTTTAAAGTTCAATTCAAAAGTTGGCCAACGAAAATAAAACCAAGTGACACCTCTTGTGTTTAACAGACAATCTTAGTAATTCTCCGACAACACCGGAGTTCCCCCGCAGCCTCCGACGCTGGTAAGCAGCGCACTGGCTGTAACTCGGGACAGACTGGGCCTCTTTCGGGCGTGCGTTTGGTTTGAAACGCCGTTTCACAGATATTTCCTGAGCTGACTGGTGGCTGTGTGACGCAGGCGCCGATCGCCACAATACGCTTACCTTACTACACGTGTATTTCTGCTGTGCATTGTCCCTGTCCGTCAAAGCGGCGGATGGCCTGAATATTTCACCCACCCCCGCCTCCAAGTCACCCGCGGGTGCTACTTTCATTGCCTGTGTGACACTAAAGTTTCTGTAGTGTCGGCTTCTGTCAAGCTTAAGGCCGTTTTACAACAAGTCAAGGTACAGCGTAACCTGCTTTACTTTTGGGTGTCATGTGATGAGAAACTCTTGTTTTATCACATCGCGATAATTTCGCAAATGCAATTGATCGTTCAGCCCTAGTACAAAAGATAATTAATTGTGCTATTCTTCACTGACGCATCAGCATGAATAATCAGAATAGATTATTGCTCCACTATGATCCGTTACACCGTTGGTATCTACTAAGACAATTTGACCATTAGCATGCATATGGGTTTACAATATGCATTTGGTAATTCATAGTTCTTGTTAGGTGCTTTATTGAGATACATAAGTGAAGTAATTGGCAACATGGATGCACACGTGCACATTAACCAGAAAATAAAAGTTAATTTAATACACAATTTTCACACTTGATACATAAAGGTGACCACAGGTAAACACATTCCTTTTACTTTGAATTGAACATCTTGTTCTTTTGGTTTTAATGTTTTGTGCTGTCCTGTCCATATCTGCTCTTTGTCCTCTTTCAGTGGCTGAATGAGGAGAAAGTGATTCAGAGACTGGTGGACATGGTACAACCTTCTCAAGATGAGGATGTGAGTTTCATGAATGAATACTAATATTTGTTTTATATACGTTCAGGATTTAGGACTTTGATTGGGGGATTGAATATGTTAAGTTTCAAGTGAGTCAAATGCAAAATCATAAATTGATGTTTTGGATATTTACACCTTTCTTGACACAGAGACACTCCAATGCCTCCCAGTCACTGTGTGAGATCATCCGACTGAGCAGAGACCAGATGTTCCAGGTCCAGGGCTGCTCGGAGCCTGACCCACTTCTGGCCACACTTGAAAAGTATGCAAGCATTTATCTACAACAACTTACATACAGTACGGTACAAACCTGGTTAATTCCCAAGGTATTTTTGACTGTGACCAACTACTAAGGGATTGAGGCTTATTTAATAGTCCATAGGTTCTATTTACTGTACAGGTGATTTATTATTTTTTTTACTGAGATTTTACTGAGGCAAATCAGTCGAGGGCTGCAACCTACGATCATTTTTATTGGTGATCAATGTGTCGATTAATGTCTCAATTAATCGATAAATTGTTCGATCTATAAAATGTCTGAAAATGGTTAAAATGTCAGTGTTCCCCAAAGCCCAAGAGGACTTTCTCAAATGTTTTTGTTTTGTCCATAACCCAGAAATATTCAATTTACATAGATGTCATAGATGAGGTAAAGGTGCTAGAAAAGAAACTCAAATAAAAACTTCAACAGAAATATAAACAGATTAATTTATTATCAAAATAATTGACAGATAATTGATTAACTGTTGCAGATCATGATCATGCATTTAGCTTTTACTTGCTCACCATTTTTGTTTTTCAGTTGATTTTGCATTGTATGTAATTTTATACAGTTATTTAACAAGGGCTTTTGCCATTTTGCCCAGTAAGCTATTAAACAAACTCTGCCCTACAGATCTGGCAAGTGACTTTGAAGCCTGCTTTCCCTTCATCTTTGTTTGTCCTCTTACTCAGACAGGAAACGGTGGAGCAGCTGCTGTCAAATATCTTTGACAAGGAGAAGAATGAATCTGCAATTGTCAGTGTTATCCAGATCCTCCTCACGTTGTTTGAGACAAGGAGACCAGCGTACGTTCCTATGGCCTTTCTCTCTGTATCTGTCTCTCTAGCTGTATTTCTCTGCAAACTGCTAAAACATGTTGCAAAATATAGCCTCCTTTGGCGACTGGTAATTTACCTGGGTGGCCTGCCCAGCTCTGGAAACATGGCTTATTTTAGCTTTACAGGTAGTACAAATTGCAAGCTTTGTGTTGTCTTCATGCACAGTGAAGAACTTCCTCGATTACTACATGTTTTAGCGTGTGTGTGGCTGAGCAATAGACTGTTACGGTCTGTTTGCAGGCATCAGATGATCGATCAGTGCATATTTTAAATTTGAAATTGGATACAAAGTAGGTGATGAGAATGTTAATAAAATGTTATTTATATAGCACCAAATCACAACAACAGTTATCTCACAGCACTTTTCATAAAAGAGCAGGTCTAGACCGTACTCTGTGATGTTATTTACAGAAACCCGACAGTTCCCACCAAGAGCAGCACTAGGCGACAGAGGCAAGGAAAAACTTCCTTTTAAGAGGCAGAAACCTCGAGCAGAACCATGGCTCAGGGTGGGCGGCCATCTGCCTCCACCGGTTGGGGTGAAGGAGAGGGAGGGGGAGAGGGAGGGAGGGAGGCAGCCTACACAATACACACACACAGAGGTACAGACAGCAAAGGTGATGTTGCTATAGACTGAATGAATAATGGTACAGATATTATAGTAGTGTTTATGATAATAATCGTAATGTTATAAGCCATAATCATCAAGGTTAAGACAAAGTATTTCACTTTATATGTAATGAGTCTAACATATATGAAAGTTTCACTTTCTGGTTTAAATTATGGCACCAGATCAAAGCAGTGAATACACAGATCAGCAGGCATGGACCATGCAGGGACCATAGTTCAAGGAAATAAATTAATAATAGAGCTGCTCGATTATAGCAAAAATCATAAAACTGAATGCTTTTTCTTTAAATGATTATGCATTATCTCAAAAAGCCCATGAAATAAGAAATTGTAATCAAATATGTTTAACTTTAAACAACATTGGGGTGGGGTGACATACACAGAGTGGAACAGAGCTGGTGACAGGTGAAGTACTCGAGTTGATACCTCATTACATAACACTGACATTCAACTGGTAAGTTCTGTCAGGAAATGCAGTTACATAAACCGACAGTGAAAAAAACAAGCAAGGACCAGGTAAAGCAAGGCTTCCGACACCTGGTTTAGTAGAAGTATAAATATGTAAATTGCCTGCTAGGCTGATTTATGCAGTGTAAAATGTCATAGGCTTAAGCTAATAGTGGTCACAAGCAGTAAGTTGTAACCGTTGTCATCTTTGCTCGTGCTGAACTAACTTTGAACATCACAGCATGGCTGAGAGGGAGGTTGGGCTTTTGGGGGGGGGCAGTTATAAAGGAAAGGGTGCCAACACAACACACAACCAGTGTCATTGCGAAACAGTATGCGTCACACTGATTGCTTAACTTGTTTTCATAATCATTGGAAGCCAAAAACGAAAATGTGATTTAAAATTCCATTAATTGCACAGCCTTAGTTCATGGTAACATTATTACCATGAACGTTCCTGCTACTGAGGTAGCAGTTGGGTAAAACACTGTTTATGTATGCTTCAATATCACACAACCCATAATTATTTTCCCTGTCTGTGACTTGGCACTACTGCATTGTGTTAGGTGAGCTACATCATTCAAAGGTTATGACTTTCTCTGTTGTAGGTTTGAGGGTCATATGGAGTGCCCCCCTGGGATGTCCCATCCTTCATTCTCCGTCAACCACAGCATACTGGAGGCTGTGAGACCCCGACTCAAAGATTTTCACCAGCTGCTACTGGAACCCCCAAAGGTAGAAAGCATACAGACAGTTGTAAATAAGTCTCTTGTAGATTAGTTACTACAGGGTTCAGTGTTTCCCTAGCATTGTTTTGAAGGAAAAAAAAAATATATATATATATATATATAATTTTAGATGGACTGAATCCCGAAATAGATTAACAAAAATTGTAAAAGTTACGTCCGGTCAAACTATGTAAATAAGGAGAAGCGCTGCCCACATGAGTGGCCTCCGTCAGACCCACTTATTACTGTGAGTTCAGCAGCATGTGGAGTCGAGTAATCACGTGTTTTAATAGGGAACAATTCATAATATGTATTTCAACAATGCATTCATTGTGGTCTGTCCTTTTATTAAATAGCATTATAATATTTTAATGTCCTACTGTTGCAATACAATTGCAATTACATTGTGAATTGTTACCACAAATTGCACATACATTTGAATATTGCTATATGTATATTTACATGATGCATCAAATTCATTGATTTTGAATCAGTTTGAAAATCCTATGGAAGTTTCAGTTTGCATAGAGACAGAGCGCAACGCGTCATACTCTGAAAACTTGGCTTATCTTGTCAATGATCCCACTGGATGTCCAGATTTGATCGTATCACCAGATAAGATCATCATTTAAGCTAAGCAAGATCAAAACCGTGCCTTTTACAGGGCTTGTGTTGGGCTTGGGCTGTGTTCAGACTGCAGGCCTTAATGCTCAATTCCGATTTTTTTTTATTTTTCCCCAGATCCGATTTTTTTTGTTTTTTTGTTTGACAGTTCACGTTATAGTTTAAATGTGGCCCATATCAGACTCCAGTATGAACAGTCTGCGGCACTTGTGATTGGATGCTGGCAAATGATACAAGCAAGCTCATATGAAAGTGATGGCACAGAGCAGTGTTAACTAAAGAGGAAAATCCCCCTCAGAGCTGTCAGACCTGAGGAACCTCAGAGAGCAGAGTTTCAGTTGATGGGAAGTAAATTAACTGATGATGTTCTGCTTAACACAATACTATTAACTTTACTTACTAAGATAAGTTGATAATTCCGTAATTATATTTAGTTATTTAATCAATGTTGTGTCAATTTTCCCCTGCGGTATCAAAAATGGTATCAAATAATTTTTAGAAATTCCAGTATTGTGACAACACTACTATAGATTATGAGAGATATCCAAACTAGTAGGGCTTCCTCCGATTTAAAGATTTTACTAGTCGACAAGTAGTCGTCAGTTCAAGCCATTACTCGACTAGTCTTTGCTTGTTGATGATATATTTTAAATATATGTATTGTCACCAAAACTGTCCAGTCGACGAGTTTACTGTCAGTCTGTATAACTTCATGTTTACTCTTCTTGGTTCATTTGTAAAAAGTCAGTGTGAAAATGAACCGTCAAGAACTACATTGCAACAATACATGATCCTTTTAGTCAAGCCCATTGTCAGCGTTTTTTGTTTTATCCAGTGTTTGTAAACAGTGTTGTTCTGAATTTCTAGCAGTAGGACAATGTTTCAGATGGTCCGCTCAGAGTAATTTTGTTTTAAATGATCTTCTAACATGTACTATAAATATTGAGTAATTAGTATGGGTATATCCCAGTTACAAGTAAGTGTGTGTGTATGTGTGTGTATATTAAGCAGTGTTTATTTTCCACCAACAGAGGAATGTGATGAAGACAACGTGGGGGGTCCTGGACCCTCCTGTGGGCAACACCAGGCTCAATGTGGTCAGACTTGTGGCCAGTCTGTTGCAGAGCAACACACACAGCATAAACACAGAGCTCATTAACCTCAACACACTGGGAGTCATACTAGTGAGTACTATCTGTGTTTTGGTATTTGTTTTGTGCCATTTTTTCCCCATTCCTCACTACCCTATAACAATCTTAACTACAGTAAAATCTAATGACAACTCTAACAAAGCTGACAGGTTGGAGTTTTATTGTAGGTTGTGTTAAAGGGTCACACATAAATGTAAATGTTCTGTATTTGTATAGCGCCTTTCTAGTCTTTGCGACCACTCAAAATGCTTTTTACACTACATCGCATTTACCCATTCATATACTAGGCCTAAGTGCTCAAACAGAAACTTTCACACACATTCATACACCGATGGAACAGCCATCGGGGGCAATTCGGAAAAAACAGGAACCGTCTCATAATAAGGGATAAGAATAACTTGTTGAGTATGCTGTTCGGTATTAGACTGTCAGGCCATTTACTAACGTCTCTTTCTATAATTGTTTTGTTTTGCTCTGCAGGATATGTATTTCAAATACATCTGGAACAACTTCCTCCACATTCAGGTGGAGATCTGCACAGCCATGATTCTGGCTATGCCCCCTGCCCCTTCTGAGACCCAGCCAGACACAGAGCAAGAACATGCAAGGGAGAGCATTCTCATCAAAAATGTAAGATTCGAATATAAGATACTTACAGTATCTCACAAAAGTGAGTACACCCCTCACATTATTGTAAATATTTGATTATAACTTTTCATGTGACACCACTGAAGAAATGACGCTCTGCTACAATGTAAAGTAGTGAGTGTACAGTTTGTATAACAGTGTAAATCTGCTGTCCCCTCAAAATAACACTTCACACAGCCATTAATGTCTAAACCGCTGGCAACAAAAGTGAGGACACCCTTAAGTGAAAATGTTCAAATTGGGCCCAAAGGGTCAATATTTTGTGGCCACCATTATTTTCCAGCACTGCCTTAACCCTCTTGGGCATGGAGTTCACCAGAGCTTCACAGGTTGCAACTGCAGTCCTCTTCCACTCCTCCATGACAGAGCTGGTGGATGTTAGAGACCTTGTGCTCCATCTTTCGTTTTAGGATGCCCCACAGATGCTCAATAGAAGAAGAAGAATCAGAAGGAGCTTTATTGCCAAGTAGTGTTTTACACATTCAATGAATTTGCTTTGGTGAAAAGGTGCTACACGTAGACAAACATACAGATGACATAAATAGATGTAGAAATATATAAATATGGAATAAACAAATAAAAGTTATATAAGAATAATAGAAGACTAGAGAAAAATACTACTATTTTCAGAGAAAGAACAACATGGCAGATATTTACATGTGCATTACTCCGGTTTGTGTAGTGCAGACGTATTGCAACAGAAGAGGATACTGTGTGCACAAATATATAAATTGACAATATATAAAAATACAACATAACAACAATAAAACAACTACGATTAACAACAAATGTGTGCAATGTGCCAGGTTCATGCATGAAATGAAATAATTTTTACATGTGCAGAGATATTTGTAGTATTTGCAAGGGGGGAGTGTCAGTAGGGGACCCGGGCCTTGTTAATGAGGCTAGCTGTAGACGGGAAGAAACTGTTTTTGAAGCGAGAGGCCTCCTGCCGGAGGGGAGAGTCTGAAACAGCTTGTGACTGGGATAGGAGGAGTCAGCTGCAATCTTTCCTGCTCGCCTCAGAGTCCTCGAGGAGTACAGGTCCTGAAGAGAAGGAAGATTGCAGCCAATCACCTTCTCTGCAGAGCGAATGATGCGCTGCAGCCTGCCCTTGTCCCTGGCAGTGGCAGCAGCGTACCAGATGGTGATGGAGGAGGTGAGGATGGACTCAATGATGGCCGTGTAGAAGTGCACCATCATTGTCTTTGGCAGGCTGAACTTCTTCAGCTGCCGCAGGAAGTACATCCTCAATAGGTTTTAGGTCTGGAGACATGCTTGGCCAGTCCATCACCTTTACCCTCAGCTTCTTCAGCAAGGCAGTGGTCATCTTGAAGAGGTTTCCTTCTGGGACGACAGCCAATTTGATGCAGTGTGCGGCGTATGGTCTGAGCACTGACAGGCAGACCCCCCACCCCTTCAACCTCAGCAGCAATGCTGGCAACACTCATATGTCTATATTCCAAAGACAGCCTCTGGATATGACACTTAGCATGTGTACACAACTTCTTTGGTCGACCGTGGTGAGGCCTGTTCTGAGTGGACCCTGTCCTGTTGAACCGCTGTATGGTCTTGGCCACCGTGCTACAGCTCAGTTTCAGGGTCTTGGGAATCTTGTTAACTTAGGCCATCTTTATGTAGAGCAACAATTCTTTTTTCAGATCCTCAGAGTTCTTTTCCATGAGGTGCCATGTTGAACTTCCAGTGACCAGTATGACGGAGTGTGAGAGACGTAACGCCAAATTCAAAACACCTGCTCCACATTCACACAAGACTTTGGCTGTGTTGGAAACGGGCTAAACTGCTGTCTCAGAAGGTGTCTAACGGGACAGCGAGGCATCGAGTGCTGTTTGAAACTGCTCGAACGATCTCTTCCTGTCTCCTGAGATGCCTTCAAGCTAACCCAGTAACGGGCAGTTTTGAAGGCATCATCAACGATTTCTTGATGCTGACTATTACCCATAAAGCAGTGGGTCTCTGCGGCTGCCGGAGCTTTTGAAAACTGGTCAAGATGGCGGACAAACAAGCCGAATTTGTACACAAATAAACGTTTTTAAAAGTTTAGTAGTTTTCTCGCTTCGATTTTTGAAAAGCTTGCTAGAACTAAACACCGAACCATCATTAGCTCGTGACTGTAACCAACCAAGTTTGTTCAGTATGATTTCTGAGGCGTCTGTTAGCCGTTTGGCTTTTCAATGATGCTAAGACTAGCGTTCTTTCATGCTAAGACTAGCGTCTCTTCTGACAACCAGAAGAGACGCAAGACGGCGTGCTGACGTCACATGTTGCCGTAAGTGCTGCCCTAGAAGGCTGTTTGAAACTAATGAAGCTGCCTTCATTTGAAAGTGATGCCTTCTGAGGCAGCTGTCTATTACGGTATCGAGGCAGCGAGGCAACTGCCTTCCTTTTCGAACACAGCCAACGTAACACTAACAAGTCACATGACAGCGGGGAGGGAAAATGGCTAATTGGGCCCAATTTAGACATTAATGGCTGTGTGATGTGTTATTTTGAGGGGACAGCAGATTTACACTGTTATACAAGCTGTACACTCACTACTTGGTGTCATTTCTTCAGTGTTGTCACGTGAAAAGATGATCAAATATTTACAAAAATGTGAGGGGTGTACTCACTTTTGTGAGATACTGGATGTCAATTCTTAAATGTCATTATTTGATGTCATTGTTTAGGTCTGCACAAGCTTATAGCAAAACCGCAAAGGTTGCTGCATCTTTGCAAACTAAAACTATCTTTACATAGGTTAAACACTAACTCCAAGCAAAACTGTTCAAACTAAACAGTATTTCCTTGTATTTTTCTCCACCAGCTGTTTCAAAAGTGCCAGTTTATACAGAGAATCGTAGATGCCTGGAGCTCCAATGAGAAAGAACAGTGAGTATTCTGTTCTGCTGCAAATGAGACCATAATTAACTTTGTCAGGGTGTACCACTGCTTCATTGTGTGAATAGAAACAAAATGTGCCAAAAGTCCCTTGCTCCTTCACTGTGATCATTATTGGTCAAGGTTCAGAATGCTTTGCTTTAGATTAGGGCTGAACGATTAATTGTTTTCAAATCGAAATTGCGATTTGAAAGAACGCGATTAGCTAATCGTGAAGCTGTGAACCAGTTTTGTTCTGCTCTCTGCACGGCTACAGGGAGCATTTCAGAATAAGAACATTTTGCCTGCCTGATTTTTCTGACTTGTTCAGATTTTGTTCAGTTGTCCTTGATTTTTGTGCTTATGGTTAAGTAGGCTACGTAGTTAAACTGTTTATTTTTTGTCTGTGTTAACTGTGTTTATTGATATACCATCGGGAGTCTGTGCTGCTTGACGCGACAGATTCTGTCAAATAGACTGGCAGTGAATATTGAACTTTACCTAAAGTTAAAAAAAATAAAATTGCAAATAGAATTGTAATGTTTGGCAGAAAAATCGCAATTAGATTTATTTATTTTTCCCAAATCCTTCAGCCAAGTCAAAGTATTAACTCTTATGGAATGTCCTAATAATAGTATTTGATGCGTTCGTGTGTGTTTAAAGGGCAGAAGGTGGTCGGCGACGAGGCTACATGGGTCACCTCACCAGAATAGCCAACTCTATAGTTCATAACTGTGACAAAGGCCCGAATGGACCACAGATACAACAGCTCATTTCTGGTAAGGACTCTCCTCTGTCTGAGGGCTCATATCTCTCCGTCCTCATCGGTCTTGTGAAATAGCTTTATCGTGTGTGTGTGTATGTGTGAAGTTCTCATGATGGTAACAGGGTGGAAATCTTCCTATGGCAGTACTTGGCCCATTTGTGTTTATCAGAATAACAAGTGGCAACTGATATGGACTTGAGAGCACCATTCATCATTTATTTTAAAAATATACAGTATATGAAGATAGAGTACAAATATGACGTGTTTATGTTTTAAAACAGAGCTTCCCTCAGAGGACCGAGAGAAATGGGAGGCCTTTATTTCTGGGCAGCTGGCTGACACAAACAAGAGAAACACTGTTGACCTGGTAAGTAACTTCTAGAGCTGAACCCGAATATTCAATTGTTGGGTACACATTTAATTTTCAATTTTGAGATTCAAATTTTGAGGATTTCTTTTGCACGACTGACCTCCGCTCACAGCAGGGAACTTGCGCTCCAGTTCACATCAAAAGGAAAACAAAATGAAGCCATCAGCTATGTGGGAGCACTATAAACTGATAGATGACAACGGCAGTGTGGCAGTTGTGTCTTCTTATTAATTTTATAATTGCTTAATTTCATTACAGATCAAAACAGTAAACTTTAGACTACAACAAACAACAACTTAATGAAATCATTTAAATAATTAGGCTGATCGAAGGAGTACATTTAGTAGACAATAATAAAAGTTAAAAGCCAATTTTAACTTTGCACTGCCGGGAAAGCTTTGGTTTTTCGATGTTGATTACTGTCTAAGCCTCGAAGTTCAAAAATGACATCCGGGCCAAGCCTAATAACTACATGAACACTGATGTCAATCTTTAATATTTCCCTGTACATGTTAAGAGTATAGACATTTTTGTTATTGGCTCTGTAGTCCAGCACATTGGATTTCAAAGAAAGCAGTGATCAGATCTAAAGTAGCGTTTTCCTCCCAGATCCTGTGTTCTGAGTACAGATCAGTTTTTCCCCTAGGATGGAGTTGTAGCAGCGGAGGTGAAGCGAAAACATTTGTTGTGCACATGCATACAGCACCCTGTTGTATGTCTGAATATAAAACCTCAGTACAATAAGTGTCAGCAGCAGTGCTCTTGTGTCCATGAGCAAGCGATGCGTGTCAGAATAGTTTAAGATTTGAGTGTTTTCCCGAAGTCTTAGATGCACATATTTGGTGGTAATGGGGGGTGGTGGGGGGTCTTCCCAAGACCTCCTTCTTACCAAGCATTTCATTTGCTCAATAAAATCCAAAGAAACGTCTCCTCATTAGCTTAAAAGGGACTAACCTCAGCTCCTCCATAGTCAGCACTATCATTTCTTTTCCTAACAACCAGTTTGAAAACTGGAAAAAGTTAACCATTAGGATGTATAGTCTTTGTGCAGGACAGAGCTGTAGGCTACAACAGTTTAGTCTAAGCATGTAATGTTGTCAATACTGGACAAAGTAGGTAATGAAATGCAGCTTACTTCCTATAAATTCTGCTAATGTTAAGTTACATAGAGCCATAAAACATAGCCTACTGTCAGCTTTCCTATTCAGCTGTGCAGTCTGAAGTAGAGGGGAGATGTTTAGCACTGACTGGCTTCACTTTTCCAGCAGTTGGGGATACAGCAGACAGGCTTTTCTTGGTCTTAAGAAGTCACACTACTGTATAACCGACATACATTTACTGGCTCGTATTCATTGCCACTTTCTGCGGCTTGGACAACTAAACACTACGTACCTCCCGATTCCTCACAAGAGTTAGGCTGCTCATAACAGCACCTTTCACGTAGATGTTCTTTGAAGAACGAGGGGAGGAAGCTAGCTAAGAGTTTAGTGTTTCTGTGGTCGCACAGTGCGCGAGTGAAAACATTAGTAGCGTGTAGTTTAATGATCGTGGAAAATTTTAGTAGCGGATGTCATAATTCAACAGCGGTGCACCACCGCTCCTGAATGAATATAGAGAAAACACTGCAGATCCAATACATGTCTAAGCTTAAAGCATCAGTAGGCAACATTACATCATTATAATTTTGGATGAAACCGTTTTGGACCATAAGGTAGCAATTGTTTACATGGCTAGCCTAGTAAGGCTAACAGCAGGCTCTCTGTTAATCTCTTCTCTTCAGCATTTTCCTTCTTCAGGCTTGCTTGTAGCCTAACATATGCCATTGTAGGTAAATTAACTATTGGAAATTTATGAAAAACTGCTAGGGCTGAATGATTAATTGTTTTCGAATCGAAATTGCAATTTGAAAGAACGCAATTAGCTAATCGTGAAGACGGCGATTTAAAATGTAGGTTAATTATACAGCACATCTGACCCGTTTTAAACAGTCATGCAGTTACAAATTCATTCCGTTGTCATCCTTGTGTGACAGACTTGCTAACCAATCACAAGCGCCGTACGCATCCTGTTACGGTCCTATTCACCAATCAGAGCGGGCACAGGGCATGTACATTTTTACAACAAACGAAACTAGAGGAAAATGCGTTGGATAATGGCGCCAGGCGTAGGCCACATAGTTCAGTTGTTTCCCTTTTTGTCTGTTAACTGTTTGGTTTATTGTTGATATACGATCGGGAGTCTGCACAGGGTATTTTATTTTGACAATCAACTGGATTCTCTGTTGTGTTCCTGCCTGGTTCATCTGCTCTGTACTGCTTGACGCAGCTTCTGTCAAAAATAGATTGGGAGTGAATATTGAACTTTTTGCTAGAATAAAAAAACATATTGCAAATCAAATCGCAATATCTGGCAGAAAAATAGCAATTAGATTTTTTTCCCCCAAAATTGTTCAACCCTACAGACTGCCATAGCTCTTGAGAGAGGAAGGGAGCAGAGCCATGTAGAGGGAGGATAAGGGTGATGTGGTGGTTTGGTCAATGGCCCACTGGACTAGACCATGAGCACCATAAGAACGCCGTGCACATCAAAGACAAAATAACCTGGCCCTTTCCTGCTGTCATGTAACATACTTCTCTACATGGCTGTGGAAGGAAACAAATTCACGTAGAACCCAGATGACCCTTGTTTGTACAGAGTCACTGTAATTTGCTGGTTACGTGTTAGCTAACCCTGATTGGTTGTTAGATTCAGACCGGGTCCAGTTTAAAAAAAAAAAAAAAAAAAAAAGCTAAATACTAAGCAGCAGGTTCTCACAGACACACAAAGGAGCTCTTCAATGAAAGATTGTTAGTGAGTAATGCAATGTTCAAAATGGGTTATTATAACCAAAATTATAATTAATTTTGCCTATTACAGCTTTATTACTCGTGGACTGCACTGTACATTTTCAGAAAGATCTAAACAAGGATGCAGCACAGCACAAGCATATGTGAAGACCGGTTTACATGGCATTACATCATGTTAGGACAGCCTGTAGTGTGGAAAGCACACTGAGGCAATCAGTACATTATTTATTTTTTTATTTTTTTTAATCACAGGACAACCCTTTTTGCCAAATTAATTTATCTTTAGGTGAATACACACCACATCCATTCTTCCAGTGATGATGAGGTGGACTTTAAAGACAGTGGCTTTCACCAGGACTCTTCTCTACAGCAAGTAAGAACTAAACACACACCCAAAGCATATATGCGCACAAAGCAGGTCCATAGCCACAGTTGTAGCTCATCTACATATATTCATTAGTTTTACTGAAGCTCTGTTGTTGTGCCGTGTGAGCTTTGTTTGAATATATGGACATCTGTTGGAGGCAAATCCTCTAAGTCTCACCAGAGTTTGTTAGTGATAGACAGTTTACGTTAAACACCTGTGAAAATCAGTCTTACTTGGATAAAATCACATGAGTTGAGTAATTGCTCAGTTGCAAGTGATGATACTATTGATTTCAGTTTCTTTTATCATTTAACAAGATCACTCAGGAATACAGATGTTTTCCTGAAGCCCTCCTTACTGGTTGCTTGTGTAGTGCGACATGCAAAAATATCACAGTATAATAACTATTTCTCAAACCTTTTCACCGTGTGATCCTCAACAGAAAACACTCGCTCACCTCCCCTTTCCCACCAGATCACGTCTACTCGTATCTATTGAAATACATGGAATTCAAAAGCTACCTGTTTCTGTGAACTGGTCTTTAATTGTGAACTATTTTGTGACTTATTATTATGTAGGTACTTGTACAGTTTTAAGTAGAAAATAATTGACAGTTTGTTTTTTAACTAATGTTAAAGCATTTTGACATCTGACTGTAAATGCATGTTTGTGCTGTTTTAGCTATTAACCCGTCTAGCCTAAATGTTATACATTCTTTCTTTTTATAACTCCAGTATGTGTATTTGCTATATCTTGTACTGCAAGTAATGACCAGCTTTGTGTAGAGCCAAGACTATATCATTATCGTTGGTCCTGGGTTTTGCCAGGCCTTTTCTGATTATCAGATGCAACAAATGACGTCCAATTTTATTGAGCAGTTCGGCTTCAATGACGAAGAGTTTGCTGATCAGGACGATGTTGTGGAGTGAGTACTCATCCTGCATTTCTGGACTTGCTGTCTAAGTATTACCCTGTAACACTGAAGGGACAGGGCACTACAGACACTACTAAGCTGGTTGTGTGTTTGATTCCTATTCCTTATATTTCTAAACCATTTTGCTCAGGCATTAAAGCTAATTTCATTATTTTAAAGAGATTTTTTTTTTTTTTCGTTTTTGATATGGCTGCCATAATACATACAAACTACTGCTTAAAGAGGAGAAACCATATCCAGCTGTGTGTAGTCGTGTGCTGTCCCTTTGTGCATTCCTTTAGGGTGAGCTGTTTTTTTGGGTGTAATCTTCTGCCAAAGTTGTGGGAAGTGGGAGATGGCTGTTAGTTGATGATTGAAAATGTCTGCTTCAAGTTAAACTGTTTGTGGGGAAATAGAACCTTTTTTCCCCCCTAGATCTTGGGCTGCGCATTATCAGACGATGCAAAATAAGGCACCTCTTCTGTAACAAAAAAATTGGGCTGGGTGAAATAAGCAATACACCAATACATTTTTGGATACATTACTGTTCTTAAATGGGTGCACAAATGTGTGTGAGGATTGTTGGGTTTGTGTGTGGACAGGTGTTAGTTTACTCTGTGACTGTGTATTGATGAATGAATGAAGCCTTTATTTGTCCCACGGTGGGGAAATTGCAAGAAATTGGAGTAAGCCTCCGGGCCGCAGCTATATTCAGCGCCGCCACTCGCTTCCCAGAAAATAATTAATGCAGACAGCAACATACAACATGATGACCTTTTTGTAGTTTTGAGGCTGCCTAAAATGACTGACCTTCCAATCGGTGTTTATTATAAGCAGTCTGACAGTGTGGATTGAAAGGAAAACAAGCAGTTTTCAGTTAGATGAGAAGATCGATGTTAGTTTAATTAAAGGGTTTCCTGTACTTAGGGCCAGAATGTTTTTAGACTAGCTCAGCATAAAACTAGAAGCAAGGGGAAACTGCTAGCACAACTATTCTAATCAGCAACTATTTTGATTATTGATTCATTGTTCATGAATCAATTTTCAATAGAAATGCCAAATATTTGAGAACATCTCCCTGAACTCTGGGGAATTGTGGCAAGCATTTCAGCAGAGTAATTAATAATGAATTGAATTGTTAGTTGCTGCCATAATCTATATACAGCTATAGTACATATGACTTTGCTTTTCTTTCACCAGTTTACAACACAAAAAATGCATGTTAAAAACAAGTGGCTATCAAATATGTTGCTTCAGCACTCTTTACCATGAAACTGGCATGGAGTGCAAGTAAGTTTGATTTCCCTGCTGTATTGAAGGTGAAGTGTTTCAACTGTGTGCCCATCTGCCTGTGTGTTGCCATATATGTGGATGTCGACCCTAACTAAACTAAACTCTGTTCTCTTTAACATTGCAGTATTCCATTTGATAGAATATCAGACATCAATTTTTCACTGAATACAAATGAAAGTGTAAGTACTTTGATTATTAATATTGAATTCAGAGTTGGTCAGTGAATAAGACGAGAAAGTAAAATTCTCATGAAACAAATGAAAATGTGTTATCAGCAAGGCTTGTCTTATATTTCCTGATATCACTGCTATTCCTTTAGAATTTCCAGTTCTTCCTAAACAAATGTATATGGCAGATGTATAGCATATGGGGATTCACCTTAATAAAATAAAACTGCTATTACCTGCGTTTGAACCAAAAACTTAGAGCATAGCACAAATTTCAAATCCCAAAATCTGATTATTTAAATTTTTTCAAATACTGGACCACTGGAATACAGTGTATTAAAGTATTCAGACCCCTTCACCTTATTCACATTTATTGGCCTTATGCTAAAATAATTTTCCCTTCATCAACCCCTCAGTACCTCATTATGACAAAGCAAAACAGGATGTAATACATTTTTGCAAATGTAATAAAAAGAAACGACTACAAAATCATTGATATAGGTATTGAGACCATTGGCTATGACGCTTGGAATTTAGTTCAGGTGCCTCCCATTTCTCTAAGGGGGCTTTCACACCTGAAAGTCCGAACCAAAGTTCATGTTTTGATACATTTGGTTAGGTTTGGTTTCACACTGCAATTCTGCGACCGCACTAAAGGACTTTATATGACGGACTTGCGTCTTGTCGTCATCATCTATGTGGGCTGCGTCTCCCTGAACTTGACATTGATTGGTTTATTAAACAGTTCAGCGGGCATCTTTGAGAAGAATTAATAAAAAATGAACATATGCATATTTGCCACCACTATATTGTTGTTGTTGTTGTTATGGCATTACTACCTGCAGCACCAACTATATGAAGGCTAGTCGCAATTAAACGTCCTCGTAACATAACATTAACGTTATAACATCACCGACAGGAGGAGAAGATCAGACCCCGAGCAATCCTTCTGCTCCTCCGTTTGAGGAGAGACCAAAGAGATGGGTGGCAGTGTGCTTTTATAGTGGCCGTCTGTTTGAAAAGATGAGCTGTCACAGGAGATTTAGAATGGTGTCCTTATTTCAGTGCATTTTTCCGTGCATTTGTTTGTTTCCAGTTTATACGGCAAACGCAGAACTTACTGTAAATGGCCTGAAAGTCCGAACCATCCTAAAAATGCTTTCACACCAGAAACGAATCGAACCGTGGTTCAGTTTGATCCGGACCGAGACTACTAATTTTCGTCTGTTTGGTCCGGACTGTGGTCCGTGGGAGGTTTCACACCTGTATTTTTGGTTCGGACTAAACTGAAAAGTCCAAAGTACGTACCAAACGAGGTAGGTGTGAAAGCCCCCTAAATCATCTTTGAGATTTAGAGAATCATCTTGAGTTTCTACACCTTGATTGGAGTCCATCTGTGTTAATTCAATGGATTGGGCATGATTTGGAAAGGCACACACTTGACCATATAAGGTCTCAATGTCTGTCACTCCCTCTAAAAAAGAAATATACACACACACACAGTATTTTCATTGAGATGGCTTTGTTTGAGGTCTGCAGTGTAGCTGTTGTGCTAAGATACTGGAGGTATACATGTTAATATCTGCTTCACGGCTGAGTGGCTTTTGTTCTGCAGGGTCCTACCCTAGTTTGTATGTGCATGCACTCTACATACGGTTTTTTTGTAAGTATGTGGCCTGTGTGTGTTTTCCCCAGGCGAATATAGCTTTGTTTGAGGCACGATGTAAGGAGAAAATTCAGCAGTTTGAAGATGCTGGTTCAGATGAGGAGGATATCTGGGATGAGAAAGATGTCACCTTCGCTCCAGAGGCACAGAGACGCACCAGGTCAGCTAAACACACACACAGTTTGTCATACAGAATACATTTCTATTGTGGCTTTTAACTCAAAGAAAGTAATATGCACTTTTCATATTGACCACGTCTAGATTATATACAGACCCAGCAAATCCCACCATAAACACCTAGATATAAGGTGGGCAGCCAACTGTGGTGGGAAGGAACAGGAGAAACAAGAGCACACAGTAGTACAATGCAAGTTCCACATAGAGATGTAAAATAATAGCAATGACATGGTAATATTACAAATATCAATAATAGATATTACAAGGGCTGAAACGATTCAGCGATCAAATCGATCAATAAAATGCTTCGACACAAATTCTTTGCATCGATGCTTTGTTTAATCCATGTAACTTTACAGCACAGTGTTTCGCATGAACATTTATTACTGTCGCACATTGCGCTTACGCTGTGAACACGACGTGATTATGATGGAGCTGTTTGCAAAGTGGAGGAAGAGAGAGAAAATGGCGAGGGGCGAAGAAGAAAGTGTCGAAAGTATGGGATTATTTCAAGCTAAAGAAAACAAGAACTCTGTAATGTTACCGTCCGTCCACCGCAAAACGAAACTTATGTCGCTTCGGCAACAGCACGACGGCATCTGATCAGAAAGCAGCCGGTGTTCTGCCAGCGGACCACAGACAGCCAAAGTAAGCCGCAGTCCTCAGCTGAAAATGTTCACACGTGTGTTTGTTGATCTTCTCTTTGGGCCGTGAGTTGGAACCTCAGAGTCATGAGTTTACTGGGTGTCGGGGTGCTGCACCTGTCTAGTTGCAAAAAAGTAGACAAAAAGAAAACGATTTTTACTGTCCCTCCTTCCAAAATCGTTTATTAAATACATATATAAATATGGATATAAAAAAACTAAACAAAAATGTAATTACAGTTAAAATTATAAAAAATTAAAAGTTTAACAAAACAATTTACTTTTAAAACAAAACATACTAACAGAATCGAACATGACATGCTCTCCTGCTGACAGCCATTTATGAAAAATGTACACAGCGCGGCGGACACGAGTCGCCTCTATCCTGATGAACGGGTTGCCATGGTAGCGACCTGTCAATCAGTTTGCTGTATGACAAACTATGAATTTCTGAAAGGACTAATAAATATTTATCACCTTTAAACGTACACAGCTGAGCCGCTGCCAAGCAAAAGTACTTCTTAAACGATCGATGAATCGTCGAAAAAATATCGAAGCTTTGAATGTTAAAATCATCGTTAGCTGCAGCCCTAGATATTACTATTATTATTATTGTAGCAGGGGGTGTCAAGTAAGAACATAGGTAGGTAGGTGGCCCGCAACCACAGATCCAGAAACGCATGCAGAAAGAGACCGAAGGAGAGAGACAAAGTACAAAACTATGGGAGCGTGAAGAAGTCGAGTTAGTAACATGCAATAATGGGATGAGGATGCATACAGATGGAGAGAGAGAGAAGGAGAGAGGTGTTAGTGCATCATGGGAAGTCCCCTGGCAGTGTAGGCCTATAGCAGCATAACTGGGGGATGGTTCTGTAGCAAGCTCATCAGCAGGTGACGGGTCTTAACAGGAAAAAGTTAATGTGCCACTTCTGACTACACCACGTATCTGTAACACGCCTGCTCAGTGACATTAGTAGTTTCAGGGGGTCTGCCATCCAGAATAACTACATCTTTAGATAATGCGTCTCAGAGGTGTTTGGGCCCCAGTACAATAACTTCAAGAAATTGCAGGTCATCTAGGTTTGTATGTCCTTAAGTTATGCTTGGACTTTTATCCCTACAAGTCAGCCTTCTCCCTAATTTTCTGGTCATTTGTCACACAATATGAGCATCTGCAAGGTCATTTTTGTGTAAAGCAATCATCAAGATGGTAAACATGAACACACTGTGTTCAGTTCTTTAATTATTTTGTGTTGAATGTTTATGTGATTATAGTATGAAGTATAACATTCTGGCAAAAGAAATATAACGTCTAAAAGTCCTAAAAAAACAAACCAACAAAAAAAACAGACAAACAAAATAAAAAAAAGTTTAAAATTTACTAGAATGACTGTAACATTTCCTCTTCACACAGCTACACTTTTTAGCACCTGGTATAACAACCAAGCTGTTTGAGTGTGGACTGCAGCTCCACATGTATTGCACTCACCTGTTGAGTAGTGAGTACTGTTGATCTGTGTTTCCATCTCAGGAGCTCAGGGAGCACAGACAGTGAAGAAAGCACAGACTCGGAGGAGGAGGATGTGAAGCGGGATCCATTTGAAGCTTCCAACCCCACCACCGATGACAGAATGGAAGTCGACGCAGGTTGGTGTACCGAGTACTACATATCAACCCAAGGACAGAGCAATAACAAATGGACCCAAAGTAAGAAAAGTTTTACCTTGACTTGGTTTAGGATTCAAAATAGAATAAGGTTTAGTCCAATTAACGTTTATCACGATTCATTAAATTTGGGATGATTAGATTTATTTTCAGTTCTGATGGGAGGGTTTTGGAATTATTATTCGGTTTTCTGTCATCACAAGTAAAGGTGGAAAGCTTTAGAGATGGTTCCATGCGATCTTCAATATATACTATTTTAATGTATTCTTTCATTATTTTTTAGGGCCAGTATGGACGGCCAACTTTGATGACATCCCCATGGACACAGGTACATCCACAGCTCCGAGCTCCAGTCCCAACAACCCTGCTGCCTCCTCCCCCTTATCCTCATCCCCTTCCACAGAAGCTCTCCCCGAAGCAACATGGAGCTCTTCTTCTGCTGCCACCTCCAACTCCGAAACAGGCTGGGCTGATTTCTCCAACTTCACCCCTGTCAGGTAGGACATCCTGATAGACTCTGGATCAGTTTCTGTTAGTGTGCCTGCAGTGCCTCAGCTACAGAAGAATATTGCTCACTTCTGGATGTCATAGTCTTGTAATGTGAAAAGTGTTTTATAAATAGAATTGCTATCTTTCAGCCCTAAAGACCCTCTGAGGTGCAACTCTCCTGTTGCTATGGAAACCAGCATAGAGACAATAGACCCTCTGGGAGTCAATGCACCCATGCAGCCTGAAGGTGAGATGTGTGCACATGTATGTCTATGTTGACAGAGTATGAGACTTGGGTACATCAGTGTGATCAACCAGGGATCTAACATTTACATGTGCCTGTAATGGTGTTTTCAGACCAAAAGCGAAGTGAGTGTTGGGGGCAGTGCGTTTACATACAAAGTCGGTGCAAAGAAGCGTAGAGCCGTGATTTCCTGTCGTGGGGTGCGGATGGGGTGCTGCCGGCAACGCTTTGAAGCGTTGTTTGGAGAGGACCAGGCAGGGCGGATGAGTAAAACGGCGATGGCCGACGGAGAGCTGCTAAACCTGGGGAGAAGTCGAGGACAGAGCAACGCTTCAGCTTTTGGACTACTTTCAGCGTCTGCCGATGGCCGTGCCGTTCACACTACACAACTTGTTGTCTTGTGACGGGAGTCTTGAAGTTGTTGTGGTGTTCACACTATGTGACTGATCGGTAACAGGAGGTCACACACCACACGAGCTGACAGATATCTAGCATGCCAAATATTTGGAAGAGTAAGCCGACTGGTCTCCAAACCACGTTTTGTCAAGAAAACACACTTAAAATATGAAACAGGAAATGCCGCGAACCTACACACAGGCTACATCTACATCATGTAGTGTGAACTAGGCTTAACGTGCAGGACGAGCTCGGAGTAAACTGCTTTTATTAAATTAGCTTTTTACTTAAAGGGGCATTATGGAGTTTCCAGCGGCTACTAGCGGTGCGGTTTTAAGATTGCAACCAGGCGTCTGCTCGTACGCGTGCTCGCTTGAACTCATGATCGAGCATAACCCGAAACACAACCGCTTTCATACAGAAACACCACAATAAACACAGGAACACCAGCATGCAGGCTGTGGCTTTTCTCCAGACATGTTCAGGCTCTGTTACTTCGATGTTCCCGTCTCAGAGGCAGATCAACACCGGCTCTTTAACGTTACTTCATTCAGCGCAGCGAGCCGCATATCGGTACAATCCTCCCAGAAAAAAGGCAGAGTGACAGCGGCTATAGACAGACAGGGAGAACAGACAGAGCTGGAAACTCAGGTATACTCCCACTGCAACGTTACAGTAATAGTTTTATCTGCTGCAGGTTGAACTAATCCATGCTCGTTACATGATCACAGTACATTTACTGCATTTAGCCGACGTGCTACAGCGTTAGCTCGCCTGCTGCTTCTCAGTAACTATCTTTCTTATCTGTGAATCTTTCACTGGAGGCTCAGCAATGTCAGCACAGCTACATGTATTGGGTGATGATGAAACGGTTAGTGAGCTGGACTGAATATTATTATTAATATATTATATTACTGCATGTCGTTAGCTGCCGTGTTGTAGCTGTAGCCCAGAGACCTCACATTAAAAGCAGAATAGTGGCTGATTCAAGCAACGGAGAAAACAGGCGTGTGCTTCATTTCTAAGTGACTTTTGAGCCCATTGACAATAAGGCAATGACAATTTGATTGATTACATATAGCCCCTTTAAGTTTTGAGGATTACAACGTTGATTTATCTTCACTGGAGCTTCTCAGCAGCTAGCTTCTGTGAACATCCGGTTCCAATGTTGTTGTTAGCGTCGGTTGGCACCCAGAGCTCTGAGTCAGACTACTACTTCATATTTGTATGAAAAATTGAGAAAACTGGACATTACTTGGAGAAAAGAAAGAGAGGAAGTTGAACTACCTGCTGAGTTCCTAAAATATGTATCTTTATTCCAGCTATTGTTGTACTTTACTGTAAACAAGTTAGCACAGCCCTGATCAATCCGAACGCCGTTTATTTAAAAAGTTGCTCTCCTACTGACAGACCTGACAAAACATGAATTTGTGTGTTTAACAAAAATCGGCATCATGTTGTAGTTATTCCGGCATCAGTTTCATCCATTTATTGCAATTAAATCACAGCAAAATGTTTACTTTGGGTTCGTACAGCTGTAGTAATTGCGGATTGTGGTTATTTGCGCCATCGCGTTGTGTGTGAACACTTGGCAGTAGTACAGTGATAAAACCCACGTGCCGAAAGCATTGCGAGGATTAAATTTGCGTTTGGTCTGAGTTGTGTGAAATTTAACACTGGCTACTTAATTTGATTTGATTGTCTTTCAGTAGCAACATCTAAATAAACCACAATGTGAATATGTCTCCTGTCAGGGTAGCTGTGAATTGTGTGTTGAAACAACTTAAAGGATCTTGATCTTGGTCAGATCTGACACCTATTGTCGCCTTTCTTAACACTTCTCAGACTGTGATGGCTGGTTGGGCACCAGTGTGGCTTCTCTCTCCTCCACCTCACCTAAGGATTGTGGGAGATCAAAAGCAGAGGAAGAAATGGCCTGTTGTGAGCAGCGCAGCATCACTGAGACAGTCATCAATGGCTCCATGAAAGAAACTGTCAGCCTCACTGTTGACGCCAAGACTGAGACCGCTGTCTTCAAGAGGTTCGTTAAACACACCCTTACAAAAAACTCTACATAGCTCTCTTTGCTAAATGACTGAATGTTTTTAGTAGCAGTTTCGCTGCTAATGTTGTTCTGGCATTCAAAAAACCCTAGAGGCGAACATTGGAATGCGCTGACATTTTGGTGTCTTTACCAGAATGGCTACTTGTCAGGATTTGTCTCATTAGTGTCACATCCGTTTTCTAATGAGGGCCCTCACACTGTCACTCAGTCACAGTCCTGTAGAGGTATTGTTAAATTTAACACCCAAGTTCCGAGATGGGCCCCAGGCAATGCATCTACTGGCTGGAGAGTGTTTGTTTAATAGTTAACTAATATTATTTGTGCTACAATTTAATTCTCTGATCTACAATTTAGCCTCTGTGACCAATGTTTCGGGGCTTCTGGTATAGCAACAGATATTGGGTTAATGCTTATCCAGGCCAAGATTTCCTCTTTGGTCATTGTTTACATTCCAAGTAGTAATCTCGGAACCAATCAGCTGTTGTCTGATGACAAATTTAATCCAAATACATGGTTTTTTTTTAAAAAAGCTGACAAGGACACAATTTTGGTATGGTTGGCCAAACCCTACAAAAGTCTTGTCATTTGCCTAGATTTTACGTTCATAAACAAATATGTCTATAGAGATTAGGATAAAAACAAACAGTCAGAGCACTGCTATGGAAATAGGGCCATTTGACTGGCTTTGTTTGTTTTTTTTGTGCTCATTCACTTTCACTGTCTAATACTTTGTGATGTCTATAGCTCATATAACAGAATGGCATAAAAAAATACATGGCCAAAGCAATGTGATAATAAATCGCTGTACACTAATTGTATATTTAGGCTTTAAAATAAGATTCCATCACCCAGTCCTCAGAGGAGTGATTGCTACATACTTTGTTTATGAAATGCTTGTCTATCCTAAATCCACAGGTTTTCAAGTTGGTTGTCTTCTGTCCTTGTGTTCCCTTGTTGATGCTGCATTATATTGTCTGTTTGTCTGAGTAAATAACAACTGTCTGATTAACTGAGCGACACTTACAACCTGAGCTTCCCCTCCTCTCTCTCTTGCTGTGCGTTGTGGGTGTGGTCTTCTTCAGAGTTTTGAAATCTTATCGGTATGTACAGCCAATCAGAGATCAGCCTGCGGCCGTGATGTAGTCTTGTTGTCACGTCAACCACCAACTTTTCTTTCCTAATTTTGATCTTCTTTGGTTTCAGCTCCTTGTTTGTTTATTTCATTATCTCCATTCTGCATGTGTTTTTACTGAAGGTGTTGTCCAACTGCAGTTTTTTTAAGTTTATTAAATTTTCTGATGGCTTTTATCTTAACAGGCCAAACTTATTTAAGACCAAATTATTATTTAAATTACACAAATGACATTGCCCTGAAGTGAAGGCCAGTTTTTGGATGATACTCCTGTTAAATACCTTTTTAGGCTACAAAATGAATTGCATTCAGTGTCAAAATATACTGTAGGGAGTGAGGTAGGGCTGGACCCCAATATTCGAATATTCATTTGTTTGGTAGGTTTTCGATTTTCATTTTTGGGATTTGATTTTTTCGCGCACCTAATCTGCACTCACAGCAGTGAATGTAACACTCAAGTTCATATCAAAGGGAAAACAAAACGCCAAGGTTGACCCTCGGGAGTGATGATGGTCTTGGTATTTCGGCCGTCTGCAGTTGTCTCCACAAATTCTTCGCTCAGCTTGAACCTGACCTTGGTTGTCTTGAACGTACTTTCAGACTTCATTGAAATAGCCCCAGCAATACCTCAGCTGTGTGGGAGCACTTTAAATTGAGTGATGACAACTACAGTGTGGCAGTCATGGGGTTTATTAATTAACAATTGCTTAATTTCATTACAGATCAAAACAGTTAAATAGCTACATTTTAAAGTTAATTAGCAAACTGCAGACTCACTCACACAAACAAACAACATAAATAACATAATAATTTTATACGCCTACTGTAAAAGAACATTTAGTAGGATTATGATAGTAGTATCATAAGAGTTAAAAGCAAATTTTGCACATGTTTTATTTACGCTATTGGAAATGGCGCTTATCCCATATGCTCTCCCTTGACTAATCTAAATTCCCGGATTCTGCTCAGGTTAGCCTCTCACAGTCTCTCATTAGCGGTGCGCCAATTAGGGTTGGGCGATGTCTACAAAATTGCCATCAGACGAGGTCTACATTGAAACATTGTGATGGACGATGGCATTGGGTGGGGCGTCTTATGCGTATTCACACCTAGACTTCATTCGGTAAAATACTTGCTTATTACGCTACAAGTGGCGGACACGGTGGATACAAGCATGGACCAGGTAAAGCAACAGTGAACACAGTGTGCCATTAACAAGCCGGCATGTGGCTCACCTACTGCTGTGAAAAGGGATCACGGGTGGAAAACTCAAGCTCTTTTGGGCGAGCTTGAAAAACATACTGCTGATGGAGAAAGTCAGGGGAGCCCAACACTGCTTGCAGCTTTAATGTGTATTCCTTTCTGTTATTTTGTGTTTTTTTTAATAAAATAACACTCTATGCTCCCTTGACTTTCTATTTATATTGAGTTTAACACAGCATTGCATGAGTTCACGTTCACATAATCAGTTCACGAAAACATGAGCATGTTCAGTGTCCGGCGCACTGTATGGACATGTCTGCGCTGTCAGACTTTTGGATTTTTATTTGAAGAAGACTCCGACCAGTAGGCCTACGTTATTTCCGCCTATGTAGTTGCGTATGTGTAAACAGCATCTGTGTTCCCTGATTTGGAACATGCAAAAAAAATTCTAAGTAACACCCAATACACCCCTGACACTCAGCCAGTGAACGTACACATTAGGGCTGCACTTAACGATTATTTTTCAAATCCATTAATCAAACGTTCATTTTTCGATTAGTCAATTAATCTAACGTCTTCTTTTGTTGTATTTTAAAGAAGAAAAATTAAGCCTATTACTCAATTAATACAAAATAAATATCAAAAACATGTCTAATTAACAAATCAAAATTTTATGCGATCATCCTTAGAATGATGATGATAGTAGCGTATCTTAAAATTGATCCAATTTCCACGTCCCAGCTGGGTTATAACAATAAGTGACATTAATAACTTAAAACTTTACATGTTTCTGACATGGACTTATTTCAATATTGAGTAATATGCAGTATGATAATCATAGGCAAATGTATGTCTGCAATACAATAATAAAATCAGACACAGGCTACGGTGTGTGTGTATATATGGAGAGAGGGAGAGAGAATTATTATGTACATGTCAGAGGTGGATGAGAGATACAGGTACACATACATGTACACGTATACACAGTGCGATGGAGCATAGTGCGAAGAATACCGGAATAAATAAGTATTATGTGCAGGCGTTATATACTTGAGGTAGGTGGATTTGGTATACAGTATATACAATATGAAAATATAACAATGATCACTATGAACAGCTCTGAAATAGAGAATGATGAATAAATAAGTGGTCAGTAAACAATCCACTCAATTCAGTTCTGCATAGTGGAACAGATAATGCGTGGCCCTTTGTGTGCTTAATAGGTTACATAAAACAATACATAATTTTATAATAAACTAGAAAGATGGATGCATTTTCCTTTTTTCAGATGCTTCTAATTTGAATGAAATCACAATAAGCAATGTTTTATGTACATATGAAACTGCTGTGTCAACACAGCTGCTGCATTTGGAGTACAATTTATACTTCTATGTCAACTCTACGCCTCAACTCCCTATAGCATAGCCTGACGAGTACCTCCCCAAAGGTGTAACTACACGTCACGAAGCAGACCGCAAGAACTAACTAGTACCAGTACTGATTGATCTGAGAAAAGCTAAAATCGGCCGATAATAACTCATGTAACTGACGCTTTTATCCAAAGTTTGCACACCTCTAGAGCAGCTAGGGGTTAAGTGTCCCAGGTCTTATCCACTGCACCATCAACACCCCGCTACATTTTGACCTTCCGATTTATCCATTGGGCTCTAGATGGAATGAAATATTGTTTCTTCAGGACCAGGGTATGTTAACAGAGTAGCAGCCAAAGTATACAGGATGACGCAGCTTTTTTCAAGCATTGAAATGTTTAATAGCTAGCTGGTGACGGTGTTTCATGTCATGTGCTCAGCAACACAGACGGTAACCGGCTATTGTCACATCCATACACGTGCTTAGGCGAGGAAGTTATTTTATATTAAACAGAATATTAGACTACTTGACAGCCTCCATATGCTGCTGAACACACAGTGAAAGTGGGTCTGACAGAGGCTACTCTCACGTGGGCAGCGCTCCTACTTGTTTACAAAGCTTGACCGGACATATCTTAATTTATGTAACGGAATATCTGACTCCGCCCACACAGCCACATGTGCTTGCATCTGCTGATGTGGTGGCACTTCTGTGAGTTTGTTGAAGTGATGAGCTCTTGCTAGCGTGCTGACTTTGATATGACGGCCTGTGTGTCTGTGCGAAGGACCTGCTAAGCCCCGCCCTTGCAGAAACACCGACGGAGAGGACCGAAGCAGTGCCTGTAAACACCAAAACACAGCAGTGTAGTTTTTCTGTTCGTTTGGCTGTGGGCAAAAATGCTTAAAACAGTGGTAGGGGAAACACTGCTGTCAACTATAGTTCTTAGAAAGAATGACAATCAGATTTGGCCAAAATCAGTATCGGCAGGTCAGAGGGTTAAAAAAAAAATCTGTAGTCGGAATCGGCCAGGAAAAATGCGACTGGTGCATCTCTAACTAGGATTAATAATAACAGTCCAACCTTTAAATTACTAAGACTTATGTTAAATTACTAACAAGAAAAACAGCAGATATTGACATTTTTCAAGCTGGAACCATGAAATGTTTTTACATAAAATTACTATTATCAAATTAGTTGATCAATTGAATACTGTATGGTTCACATCCCTACTATTGTGGTACTATTTTCCCAAGGTTGGCGGGTCTGTAATCATTTTTGTTAAAACTTAGACTATGTTTAACCGAGCGTGAAAGGCATTTGGTTATTGTTGCAATTGTGGAACACTTTCCTTTTTCTTCAGAGATTTTTAATTGGTCTCACATTCTTCTTTTAGCATGACAGCTTCTTTTCTGATATGGACAAGTGCTGAATAATTGTTTTGTAGCAACTCAAATGTTGGTTGTTTGTGGGTGCATAGCTTATACTGAGGCCTCATCAAGATTATTGGTGGTTCTCTGAGACAAAGCAAGACTGACGGCTGGCACAATCAATTTTGGTCTAATCAGTTTCCAAATAAGTTCATAGGCCTGCCTACTATTTGCTGGCTCTGTAGCTACAACATATGGTAGCTAAACAATTAAAACAGTTGACTTTCTCCATTTGCTGTACATTTTGATGCTTTTCCTACATGCTGTTCAGTTACCCATTTCACCTCCTCATCCTTTTACTGTGTGTTCCATCAGTCAGTTCAGCATGCATCCCTGTTCACATCTCACTGTGTCCTGTGTGCTTCTGTTGGGGAAAGTGGTTGGTATGAATCACCTCATGGTATTAATGTATATTTGTGTGTGTTACCTGTGTGTTCCAGTGATGAGGAGAAGAGTGCTTCTTCAGAGAAGTTCTCAGTAGTGGAGTGTGTGGATTCGGAGAGAGCGGGCTTCAACAGCTCAGCGTTAGCCTGCTGTCCCAAAACAGGGTCAGACACCCACACACACAAAGACACACACACACACACACCACTTGGATAAAAAATGTGTGCACAGGCTGTGCAGATGTCGTTTTTTTTTTTTAACTCCTCGTCTTTCAAATTTTGAACAGTCAGTATCAAAATTTCCACATATCTGGACCAACCTGGAAAAAAAGCACTGATTTTCTGTAGTTTTGAAGTGATATATTTTTAAACTAGTCTTTAAGTTAAATTTTACATAAACACTCCTAAATCAAAATTGCCTCAAGCTGCTGTAACCAAACTTGGAGCACGTGTTGGGATGCTAGGTTCGAGCTTCACTGAGCGGTCCAGTGATATACTGCCACTACGGGCGCCACAAATTTCAATCTCTTTATTGATTGCATAGAATAGTATGAAATTCGGCACAATCAAGGCTCAGTAAATTTGGTAATTACTAAATAAATAGGATGTGGCTAATTACAACTAATGTAAATTTCCCAGTCCGTCACACTCTAAACACTTAACATTTTTTGTACTGTGTGCACATTTTTTATTTCATCTTAATTTTTACAAAATCTTCAATACACCCTAAACCAGCAGAAAGATATGAAATTTTTTGAATTTTAAACAAACAAAAATACCTCAGTCTTGCACGCCTCAACATGTGAGAAGGTGTGCATGTCTCTCCACTGGTGCAATAGCTTATTCACCTTCTCTGGGTATGCAAAGTTCCAGGGTTCAAATTCCCAGTTGGCCAAGGTCCTACCTGCCAACAAAACATGTCAGTTTCTGGATGTGGTGTTTTCAAGTGCTCATTGAAGTCCTGTTAGTTTGAAGGTAGTCTATTGCCCCATTGCTAAAAGTGTTTGTGCATCAAAACAGGAATTTCTAGAAACACCAGGTGGCACGTGGGTTGCAAAGAGTCAATTCTTTCATCGTTGTAATCTCAAGTCATTGGTCAGGGCTCCAGACTGCGACCAAATTGTCGCATTTTACGAGTATTTTTATTCGCACGTGCAACCTGCAACATTTCATTTTTCATGTTTCTGTTGGAAAAACAAGGAGGGAGTGAGTCTTGCCAGAGGGCCATTTTGGCCTGCCGTTTATTGTCAACTTGACCAGCGGCAGCGATAATATAGCAAGCTTTTTAAAAAAATATATAACGAGCAATACAATCCATGCATCCTCCGCGTTTCTCTGCCAAAGATATGTTGGTAACCGTTAATTAGAGTTAAGAACTTCCACGCAGCTGGCCACATGTTTTAGTTTGTGTGTGTCTCAAACATTTTCAGATGGAGAGCAACGCTCCGCCTGCGTTCTTACTTGAATCCATAGTACAGTCTATGCATATGCTCCTCATGTGAACAGACAGACACTGCTCTATAGGTAGTAACCATAGCAATGGCTTCTGTCCGCTGCTGAATCTCAGCCTGTACAACTGTATTTTCTTGCTATAGAAAACATTAAAATATATCTTCTAGAAATTATTAAAAGAGCTTTTGGACTTTTACATTATAGGTCTAATGTTACTTGCATTTATTGTTGTAGCTCATGTTCAGATTCAGTGAACGTGTGTGTGATGTTTGATACGACTGATTCTTGAATATAAAGATCATTTGAGCAAACTCTGTATATCTTATCTCTCAGTGTAGGCTAATTGTTATTGTGTCTAGCCTTGTTCTTGTGTATGTGCTATGATTGGTGTAGGCTATTTTTCTGGAGTTTTTATGGGGGCACCCATAGCCACCCTGAAAACTCTGTTCAGACAGGCTAATTGAATGGTCAGTCCTAAAAGTTTGTAATGTGGATAACTTGTTTCCCCCAGATGAATATAGTAGCCAAATCTATCAACAAACAGGGTTAGTCTGTAACATTAGCGGTCTGGTGGTTTGCGTGAACAGAGTGGCCTGAGAATGAGTCAAATTACTAATGCGTTTCTGTAATAATATTACTTTCCCAACACTGGAAACCGCTGGTCCAGTCGTTCCAAAACATAGTCAGGAACATCTGCAGTCACTGATCTTATTGTGTTGAAATGGTTAAATCCGTTCCAGTTATACAAGCCAATTCGTTTATCAAAATAGCAACAAATGTAGTCATGTGAAACACATCTTCAATGAAGGTCATAAGCTAAATCAGATGTTTCGGAAGGTAGATATGTATACCTCAGTGGTGACTGAAAATCAAGACTCTTGCATCTTTCTTAAGCAGTCAAATGCTTGCAGTCTCATCGGATCCCGTCATTGCTATATATATATATATATATATATATATATATATATAATTATGTTTTTGAAAGGATTTAAACATCTTGGACTGCATCTTACATTGTACCAATATTGGTTTCCATTGATCCAGCAAGTGATGTGTTCATGTTATTCTAGGCTAGCTATTAGTGAAATTTGTCTCTTCTCTCCTGTGTGGCTGGAAGCAGTGAGAAGTGTCGGTCCACGGTGGAGCTTCTCAACGGCCCTCTAGAGGAAATGTCAGCCATAGAGGAGGCCAAGTAAGTCTTGACTGGACTTGTGCACTATGTGTGAGACTTGGACCTAGAAGCCTCTCACATTATATCTTTGTGTTTCTTCCCAGACTGGACCAGAGTTCCGTGCCCTCAGAGCCAGCAGTAAATGGGCCAGCATGAGGGTTGCCAGTGCCAGCCAATGGCCAGCCTGTTCTGCCATGCAGGGCCCTCCTCCTGGCCAGCCATCGGAGGCTACTGCTCAGAGCTGTACCAATCACACGCCCCCACCAGGACCAGCAATACTCCCATCGGCTTATCACTGACAGGCAAACAGAAGGGTGTACAGACACACGATAAACTGAAAAGCAAAATGAGAGACATACTCAAATGGATACAGAATAATTTTTTTTCTGCATTTGTTTATATACTATTGTTCTTATGAGGCGATGTGCAACTGATATCTTGCCACTCAAAATTAAATAGTGATGTTGCTATAGTTAAAGAAATGATTGTATGAATAAAATATTTTATAAAAGAAACATGTATACAGAAACATAAGATGAATTAAGACAGAAACGGGAGTAGCTGATTGGTGACCCAACCAACCACCAAACTTGTTACTGACTGGATCTGTCTGACACAATACAGCAGTTGCTATATTTAAAATTCTCACCCACCATCGGTCTGTCTCTGAGCGAAGCTGCTCCTATGAAACGAAACACATTTTAAAAACCATACTTAAAGTTTTATTTTCCTGCAGGTATTATTTGTAAATGTTTTTCTCTTGTATTCTTCATCAAGTAAGATTTAATAAGCTTTTTTGGAATCGTTTTTATTTTTAAAATGGAAGTAAGATGATGGTTGTGTGTTGATGCTAAAGGGTCATACCAATGTGACCTCTCCCCTTCTAGCAGACTACATGCGTGTTAACTAGGTTCCTACCTCCCAGCTAGAAGGCTAAACGGGAGAGGTACATGATGTCATCACCCCAGTCTAAACTGGGAGCAGTATAATTATGCTGAGCTTCTTTAGTAACAACAAAACTTTTTTTCAGAACCACAGTCCTCTTCTTTTGCCTTTTTATACCAGTGGTTCTAAACTTGGGGGGGGGGGGGTCCTTTTTGTTGCATTCACATTTAGAAAATTCAATTGCAGTGTTGAACACTGATTTATGTAGCTACAGCATTTAGTTAGGGGAGTGAAAGGGCTGTTAAAACTACACGCAGGAACGTGAAATGAAATACATTTAGCAAATGAGTTATGCTCTGCCAGATTCGCCAGCCTTGTAGAGCCAGGTGTGATTAAGTCATTTATTGATGAAAATTTATACCCAAAGAGAACTAGTTAGAAAATTTTCGAGCCCTGGAATGGCCATAGAAATTGGAAAATAAAGTCGTCCCCACATTTTGATTAATTTGTGTGTAGATACAGGTTCCCATTACTCAACACTCAGATAATAGAGACATTTAGAAAGTCTGACATTTAAGGAATTCCTGCGCAGGAGACTGATGAACACTACTGTGTAAACATCTTTCTTGTCAAGGTGGTGGTGGCAAATCAGCGGTACGTATACAGGGGGCTCAGGCAAAACAAGTGAGGGTGAAGAAGTTGAACGTGGCTCAACGTACGCGGTAACACATTGACATCTGACAAGACACGGTTAGCCAATCATATCGGTGCATCAAGGGCTTCCAGCTGTCCATTCTGCATTTATTAGTAACCAAAGCAACAACCCCACTCTAGACCCTTTGCTTTGCAGTGATGTTTAATCCAAGAATCCAATTTGAGTAAAGCATCTGAGTGGAAAGTGTTTTTAGTGCTGTTGTCAGTCTAAACACACCCTTGTTCAACCCTTTTCTTTGAATCACCACCTCTACTTGAAATTCCGCCTTCATGAGGTGTTGGATTGACTTGGTTGTGTTCATACATATTGTAGTTACCTCTGTATAAATGGCCTTTGTGCTTTGGTTTGGTCTTCACTAGTTCCTGATTTAAAAAGAAAAGAAAAAAAAAAGTCTGGCCTTTAAGCTGCCAGATGCTTAACTTTTTCTTCACATTGTAAAGGACCAATTGTTGCAATGGGCCAATTGTTAGTCTACTGGGAAAAAATACAAAAATGAAGATCAGCTGTTGCAGCATTTCTCCTGAATATCCGTCCACTTAGGTTAATGTTTGGCACTAATCCCTAAATAGACCTGTTACCGGTACATCTACATGTAGCAGGAAGTTAAATGATTTACATGTTGGTAGAAACGACTCATCTGCAGGCTTCCTTCCCACTTGTTTCCCCTCACTAAATGTCTTTGCATCCCATGACTCACTGGTTGGGATTTGTTGAAATGTACCAGCATTGGGAAGGGAAGAAGCTATTTACCGATGAAAATATAATTAACTCCACCTTGTTTTGTCAGATTGATTAAATTTTTATCTTCATTTCTGAAGCCCAGTGGTCTTTGAAGATGCTTTATTGGGGTCATCCATCATAGCTGAGGTTTTTATTAGTCATGTTGCACAATGTGACTAGGTTTCTTAAGAGATTATTTCTTGAGGACTCAAAAACTTATTTACAGACAGACAGTGGAAAACTGGCAATCTCCATGCAATTACCCAGCTGTCAATGTTCTAAAAAGGGGCAGATGTCTTTCATCTGATTAAATATTTCACTGGAATCTTCATTTACATTTAATGTGACACTGCATTTGATGGTAGTTATCAGTTGCCGTTAAAATCTTCCTATCCGCTGAGGCTTTTCTGTATTTAACACCAGCGTAAATGTTCATTTTAAAGGCAAGTGTGATTAAAAAAGGCAGACTGGAGAAGTTACGGATTTTGATGGTGGCCTTGAAAAGGTAAGTTATATTTGTTTCCCCCCCCCCCCATTTGGAACAAAATCATTGGAAGGTGCCAGGTGAGCTCAAACCAAACTTTGAGCATCCATCAAAGTTGTTAGACAAAAAGTATCTTACTGTTTATCAAGTCAAAGCTTAATTAGTAAAACACTTAAATTCACTTTAAAATGTAGACTGCCATTACTACATTACCTTAATAGGTACTATTCTTAGAGTTAATATCCTCTGTACGTGTGTCTGTATATTTTCCCTCCCTTGTGTCATGTGACTCGTTAGTGTTACAAGGTCTCAGGAGTGAATGGGAAGCAGGTGTGTTAAATTTGGTGTTATCGATCTCACTCCCTCATACTGGTCACTGGAAGTTCAATATGGCACCTAATGGATCTGGGGGGGAAAGAATGGTTGCTCTACATAAAGATGGCCTAGGCTATAAGAAGATTGCCAAGACCCTGAAACTGAGCTGCAACAAAGACCATACAGCGGTTCAACAGGACAGGTTCCACTCAGAACAGACCTCACTCAGAACAGGCCTCGCCGTGGTCGACCCAAGTTGTGTACACATGCTCAGCGTCATATCCAGAAGTTGTCTTTGGGAAATAGACGTATGAGTGCTGCCAGCATTGCTGCAGAGCTACAGTTCATTGAGGGAACCATGAATGCCAACATGTACTGTGACATACTGAAGCAGGGCAGGATCCCCTCCCTTCAGAGACTGGGCCGCAGGGCAATATTCCAACATAACGACCCCAAACGCACCTCCAAGACAACCACTTCCTCGCTAAAGAAGCTGAGGGTAAAGGTGATGGACTGGCCAAGCATGTCTCCAGACCTAAAACCTATTGAGCATCTGGGGCGTCCTCAAACACGGTAGAGGAGCACAAGGTCTCTAACATCCACCAACTCTGTCATGGAGGAGTGGAAGAGGACTGCAGTTGCAACCTGTGAAGCTCTGGTGAACTCCATGCCCAAGAGGGTTAAGGCAGTGCTGGAAAATAATGGTGGCCACAAAATATTGACCCTTTGGGCCCAATTTGAACATTTTTACTTAAGGGTGTCCTCACTTTTGTTGCCAGCGGTTTAGACGTTAATGGCTGTGTGATGTGTTATTTTGAGGGGACAGCAGATTTACACTGTTATACAAACTGTACACTCACTACTTTACATTGTAGTACAAAGTGTCATTTCTCACAGACGCTCAATAGGATTGTGATCTGAAGAATTTGGAGGCCAAGTCAACACCTTGAACTCATTGTGTTCCTAAACTACTATTGAACCATTGTTGCTTTGTCAGGGAGCATTATCCTGCTGAAAGAGGCCACTGCCATCAGGGAATACCGTTCCCATGAAAGTGTGTAAATGGTCTGCAACAATGCTCATGTAGGTGGTACTCGTCAAAGTAACATCCACGTGAATAGCAGGACCCAAGGTTTCCCAGCAGAACATTACCCAAAGCATCACACTGCCTCTGCTGGGAGGTTTCTTCCCATAGAGTATCCTGGTGCCACGTGATGACTACACGGGCCAGCCTTTGCTCCCTACGTGCATCAATGAACCTTGGCGACCCTTGACCCTGTTGCTGGCTCATAGCTTTTCCTTCCGTAAACTACTTTTGATAGGTACTGACCCCTGCAGACCGTGAACACCACACAAGAGCTGCAGTTGCTGGGATGACAAGTTCACTTGCTGCCCAATATATCCCACCCACTGACAGGTGCCATGGTAACGAGATAAGGTGGGTGGGTCCGAGGCCCAAAAGGTAAAGTCTGGTAAAGTTAATTACATGTGTCCATTTGCTTTTAATGGGCACGTGTAATATGTTTTATACTTTCTGTGATTATAATCCAATTAATCCTATTTCCATACTTATTTTGAAAACCGGACGTTGTCACGTGTATCCAAGATATTCACTTCAATTGTTAGTAGTATTAACGTTATTGCTGATTGGTGTGTATATATACAGTACTGTGCAAAAGTTTAGTGGTCAGCCAAAGAAACTTTGTATATCAGATGAAAGACGCATCATGCTTACTTCCCTTCAGTCTGAAGATGTCCAGCAGGGACATCAGCTCAGTGCTGCAGGAAACAGCGGGACCCTGGTACATCCATCTACTGGTAAGTCTGGTCAGAAGTGGCCTTCATGGAAGACTTGAGGCCAAAAAGCCTCCAACATGGAAACAAAGCCAGGTGACTCAACTATGTATGGAAACACAGGAACTGGAGTGCCGAAAAATGGCAGCAGGTGCTCTGGAGTGATGTTCACCGAAGGGTTGGATAGCCATACAAGAATGAGTGTAAGCAGACCACATGAAGCATGGCGGATGTTCCTTGCAAGTTTGGGGTTGCATTTCTGCAGACAGGGTTGGGGATTTGGTCAGAATGAGGGGTCTCCTCAATGCTTTTCGTGGTTGGTGGTCATTTTGAGACTCGTAAAGTTTCCTGCCTGACCTGATATTGTTCATGCATTGCTATGTACAATAATGCAGCTAAAAAAAACCTGAAGCGCATTGATTTGACTGTCAAGATGTGAGTCGACTCGGGGTCTTCTCCAGTGATGACTCAAATCTGACTAGAGGGCAGCCCTATGACTGCCACCTGCCAAAGTGGCTAGTAAGAGTGACTGTGTTACACGGCACTGGCACATTCTCTCCACATTTGGCGGGTGCTAATGTGAAGTCCCGCTGCTTAGGTTTTAAAAGTCTAAACTTAAACTAGAGTACTTGAATGTTCTCCATTGTCAAAACTATGTGTACCTGACCACGTACCACACTGTAGGTAGTATTTTGTGCTTTAGGCCAAACCTAAACTACTGTTCTTCCAAGTCTAAACCCACTGAGAGCAGATCAGTGTTGATTTAGCCTTTAATGTGAGTTTACAGCGTGTATAGGCATACTGATGTTTTTCTCTGAGCCCACTGTCTAAATTGGGATAGCCCGATACCTCATAACTTTGAGCATTATCTTAACAAAGACATTTTAATTATGAATGTTTTGCATTTCCCCAGCAGCGATGTAACTCTATAAAGTAAACCCATTTTGAAATATACATGTGGTATACCTTTTGAAAATTATCAGCATAATATAAAGAATGTTATTTGTGGTTGTAGTTTGCATACTAAATATAATATATACTATGCATAATACTTTGAAGACTGTAAGTAACAACTGAGAGTGCATTTTATTTTCCTATTTCCCTAATATTGACCTATATTTGCATGTAATTGTACCTTGAACCTATAAGCTCTGGAAATGTTTTTTCCAAAGGTTTGGGTGTATCTCAAAACTCAAGGCAATCTGGCAGCATGTGTCTGGGAACTAAAATACAATTTGGATGCTAACACCCATAGCCTTTCTCTAAAACGTCATTATGGTTTTCAGTGAATGAAACAAACATTTTTAGTTGTAATCTGGAAGTAAATACCAAGAAGGGAGATTTGTACTAAGATTAAAAATGACCTTTGCTGCTGTTTGTCCTATAGTGTGCGCCATCCTCCCTGGGTCTAGCCTGGCAGGCAGCGGAATTCCTAGCCACAAAAAAATCCAACTCTTTGTCTTCATTGAGGGGAGATTTTAGCTTGACACTTAGCGTTGATATTTACTGTCCAATACCTAATTTGTTTAATCTGTAGTGTTATGACCACAGCTTGATATTTTTTTTTAAAACTCCAGTGAGGTCTTGTTGTTAGAGTGCTACCTGACAGACCCAGCTGGAGGCTTAAACCTACAATGTGACGTCAAAACAAGTTCTGTTGACAGCTAGCTTGATGTTAGCTAGTCTTGCGTCAACAACGGGTCTTGGCAAATCCCTGACCGACTCGTGTTTTTACACGTCTGCTGGACATCTTTTATCCATGCAGTGTAACGTTATAGTGTCAGTGTGAGACATGCAGGATAGGTATAGCGAGATAGGCTTTGTCCAGCAAATACTCGGTTTGAATTTAGTGCCGAGAAAAAATGGCACACTCCGAGGCAACGACACGTCTCTCAGCGACTTCTCAGGTGGGCTAATGTTTGCTAACAGTTAACGTTAGCTTGTTAACTACACAGGCTGTATGTTAGTGCTGAACTGCGGGGTGGCTAAATATCACACCACGTCGTATTCAGAATTTTTCTTTAACGAACTAATTCGTAATTCCATTGGAAATGTACGCTATCACTGTAGGTTAGATTGTTGGTGAAATGGCTAACTTCCTGCTTCATCGCAGCGGTTGTTGTCGAACTAAATGTGTGGTATTATTTTTGGGTAGAGTGTGTAACTTAAATTAATCATCTCAAACGTTGTTAAAAACAACTTTTATATTCGGTTATATTTAAGATTGTCATTTTGTACGTCGCTTTGTAACGTTACAGTAGGACCACTGAAGAACTTGTCCATTGCTTGTATTCGTGTAGTGAGTCATACATTAATTCAATATTCGATTGCTAACCCTGTCGAGGCTTTTTTTTCATATAGTAGTGTTCAAGGACTAACATAACGTTACAGACAAGATGTTGAGTTATAAGATCCAGTGTGGACACAACAGCATGAACGCTGGAAAATATAAAGCAGTGTAAATAGTACCGCTATTATAAGTGAAGGTATGAGCAGTCCAGTCCAGTCCAGTTGTTGGAGTATAGCTGACTGTTCTCCTGGAGATTTGTCACTTACTGCAATGAAAGCATTTATGTTGCTCTGAATTGCTCTTACATTTTACTGTGAGATTGGCTATACCATGGTCTGGGTTTGTGGGTGTGCAGTGTTGTTACATATATCTTAACCTGTGCCTTACTCCATCTTAATAAGAATTACACTTCACTTATAGTTTTCAGCATTTTCAGCATTCCAGCTGTGCATTGAAGACAGAGCTGCAGATAATTAATAATTTCCATTGTCCAAAAAGTGATTGACATGAGGTGACGTGTGACTGCATGATGTGTGTTTGTCCAGAGATGTGGTACGGAGTGTTTTTGTGGGCAGCAGTCTCCTCTCTGGTGTTCCACCTGCCTGCAGCTCTGCTCTCCCTTGCGACGCTGCGCCAGCACAAGATGGCCCGATTCATGCCCATCGCCATCCTCCTCATGGGCATCGTGGGACCAGTTTGTGGGGGAGTCCTCACCAGTAAGTTGGGGTGTGTGTGTGTGTGTGTGTGTGTGATGGTTGTATAAATTTAGCACAAGGATACACGTGAAAACGTCCAGTTTTCAAAATAAGGTGTCTATACAGGATGGAAATAAGATTAATTGGGTTATATTCACAGAAAATATAAAACAAATTACACGTGCCCATTAAAAGTAAATAGACGCATGGAATTTACTTTACCAGACTTTTCCTTAACTTTTGGGCCTCGGACCCACCCATCATAGTCTCTCCAAATCCTGTAGGAAACACTGAGTAAAAAGCACATTTTGACTATTTAATTTATGCACTGGTTTAAAAAAAAAAAAAAAAAAGGCCAAAATGTGAATATGCAACGGCCTTAAGCTTGACAGAAGCAGACACTACAGAAACTTTAGTGTCACACAGGCAATGAAAGTAGCACCCGCGGGTGACTTGGAGGCGGGGGTGGGTGAAATATTCAGGTCATCCGCCGCTTTGACGGACAGGGACAATGCACAGCAGAAATACACGTGTAGTAAGTAAGCGTATTGTGGCGATCGGCGCCTGCGTCACACAGCCACCAGTCAGCTCAGGAAATATCTGTGAAACGGCGTTTCAAACCAAATGCACGCCCGAAAGAGGCCCAGTCTGTCCCGAGTTACAGCTCCGGTGTTGTCGGAGAATTACAAAGATTTTCTAGTGTGTGTGTGTGTGTGTGTGTGTGTGTGTGTGTGTGTGTATTTTGTTTTTGTCTTGTGGAGAAATTGGGCTTGTTAGCTTATCAGACATTAGGTGAAACTAAACAATAAAGCTGTTGAATACTTATGTGTTGTTTTCTTCCTTTTTTTAGGTGCAGCCATAGCAGGTGTATATAAGGCAGCGGGGAAGAGGATGATTTCTTTGGAGGCTCTTGTTTTCGGTGTTGGACAGTCGTTTTGTGTCCTCATCATCTCCTTCCTCAGAGTACTTGCCACCCTTTAGCAGTGCTGAGGCCCATCTGGCCGGCCATGATGCTGCCGTGTGAGTCTGACACCAGTTGCACCTCCTCTTGACGGGACCTGAGTTTATCATGGTACAAGACTAGATCCCTGGTATATCCTGGGACACATGTAAACCAGTCAGGCCCGGGACATGATGTCATTTCCTACTGAGGGACCAGGACCAGAGCGGATTTTATTCAACTATCACAGAAAGAGCAGTGTGTACAGTGGAGGTGTGTGTTATACAGCATTTAGCCTTCTGACTTGCTCTGTATAAAGTCCACGGGACAGCACAATGCTGCATTCACATCACGGAGCACACACTACATACAATATAAGATGTTTATTTAAAAATTCCCTGGCAGTGTTTCCTCAGTTTATTCCAAAGTTAGGAGAAACCCTTAAAGGACCAGTGTGTAAGATTTTGGGGGTTCTATTGATAGAATATGGCAGAAATTAAATATAATATTCATAAGAATGTCTTCATTAGTGTATAATTACCAGAAAATAAGAATTGTATTTTCAGTACTTCAGAATGAGCTTTATATCTACAGAGGGAGCAAGTCCTCTTCCACAGAGTCAGCCCTGTTTGCACTGCCATGTTTCTACAGTAGCCCAGAATGGACAAACCAAATACTGGCTTAGAGAGGGCCTTTCGTGAGTTTCACAGCCACTCTGGGGTTTCCTACAGGCTTGGAAGGGTAGGGTGAGGCCAGGGGTATTCAGTTGTTTGCGACTTTACCGCTAGATGCCACTAAAGCCTACACGCTGGTCCTTTTTTAAATAATCATTGATAAATAACTTTGCAGTTTTCCTGAAAGATGTGAAGGCAGCTGGATTCAGTTCTTCCCTGTTGTCAGGGTTACAGGTTAGCAACAGGATGGCACTAACCTTTCTCAGGGCCTGTGTGTGTCACTATGAGTCTGACAACAGTTTGACTCCATGCATTGACCGCAGGGAGACAGGACAACAGGCAGGTCGGTGCACTGTTGAAACAGGAAGGTGATGGTTATATGCAAGATTCTGGCTTTTTCCCCTGCGGCCTTAATATCTATTTTCTAACTTCCAAAGTGGTGTTTATCTTCAGGGCTGTCTTTCTTTAGCACTCTTGCTGCTGCTTTTGTTCTTCCTCATACTTTTTGTTCCAAGTAATCTTGATGTCTAATTAAGTCTGAAAGCCTGAGATTGTTGTTAAATTGAATTTAGTGAGAAGCACCAGCATACAAGTGAAGAGAATTGTAATTGTGTTTAGTCCTGATCACAGCCCTGCAAATGTATCCTAGAGAATGTCTTCAGTTTGTTTATGCGCACATCTTCATCATTTGTTTATTTTTTTGGAGTGAATAGATCAAGGTTTGAACACGGAGCACCAGGATGGTCCGTTACTAAACAAACCCAAAATGAGAAGAGCTTTTGAGGTCTTTGTTTTACAGGTGTGCCATTTCATAACAGTGAACTTTGTATGTAATCTAAATTGTTTGCGGTTCTTTGGAGCCATTCAGTCTTTATGATGAAATATGAATTGCTGTTTTATTTTTCTGCACTAAATGGCCGTATGATATTTCAACAGAACACTCCCCTGTAGTTTTTATGGGCTCATGAAATTCCTACAGTCTTCAGTGGCTGCTTTTAGTTGCTTTTGTTAGCTGACCGGTTTTTTGAAAGTAGTATCATATGTGCAACTTGCATAAACAGACATGAGTTAACTCTACATGTAATACTTTGTATGTAGTGACACTGTTTGCTATTTCTGTATTAGCAACTACTGACGCCCGGGCCACACTGCTGTCCTCTCCCTGTGTCTCTGAACTGCTGCTGCTGCCAGCCCAATGAGGTTGCCATTTATAAAAAAAAAAATACAACAAAAGCCTTGCTAACAGCTGAAAGAGATTCTGTCCACAGAAACACTGGAGGGATTTTAATTTGAAACGGAAACATTTGTATGTCTGTGACAAAGGAATGAAAGGTGCCACGTTGCTGGTATGATGTCAGTATGACTATCAACAGACGATTTTCACAATTGACAGCAACTCTCAGGATGAAGCATCACACTGCTCATGAAGGCTGTGTGGCCCGGGCGTTAGCCGTGATCTAAAACTAGCTGCTGACACCACTACCATTTATTTCCTATTGGAGTCACTTTTCAAAGTTAGACATTGGTTTTGGTTTAATTTTAACTGTATAATTGTCTTTATGAAAAGCTACTGCTGTGAAAACTGCTTAATAAGTTTTCATCATGCGAGTTCATAAAGGATTTGTGCAAAGTTCCGTGCAGATCAGACTCACCACCTGGGAGCTCACAAAAGCAGGTTTCTCATATTTCACGATATAGGCATAAATAGGCGTGGCCTATATTGTGAAATCCAGTTAAATTCAGGGAACGTGTGAGTGTAAGGTTTTGAATTTGCAACATACTGTGGGGACTTACAGCCCAAAACACACTTACCTTGATTATAGCCCCACCTGCTGGTGGACGTCTCATGTTTTGTGTCTGCTGTATGTGCACCGCTATACCACCCGTGTGAATTTCACTTTGCCTTGCATGCGTAGTCCCCAGCCCCCTCTGGCATGGACCCTGATTAAAGGTTCACACTGGGTCCTTCTACAAGGCTTTAAAAGTAGTTAAATTTAGGATCCACCTTACGGCCTTCACAGTTTGAGTTTAGATCATGCTTTAATGGTGCACATTACCAAACAAGTACAGAAGTAATCAAATTACCACACCAGAATTGCCATGCAGTGATTGAGGGTCTGGGGCCCGGGGCAGCTCCACCCAGTTGCTAGTCTTCACTACGAATGTAACAGAGAGGAATCTGTCAGTTGCTGAACCTTCTTCTTTCAAGGTTTATTTCATTCTGGTGCAGTATTTGCATATTGGCATCTGTCATTGCAACCAGGTTACCCAGGCCAGTTTTCTGTTAGCTGCAGTTAGACTTACAGTACAGACTTCGATCCTTTTTAATTCATGCAATAGTAAAGAGAGAGCAAACAGCAGATTTTCTCATAATTCCATCAAAGAATTTCTTTAACCCTTTAAACCAAAGATGGCTTGAATTCCTCATGTGCGCCCCTTACTTAACTAGCTACAATTCACTTCTGTTACATCTGATAGAATTGTTTGAAGTGCATGTAAATATGCAACAAATGAAATTGACACTAAAATGTAGAATCATTTGGCTTAAGTTTAGTTCTGCGAAGTAAAAGCTATAAAACTACAAAGGCCATGACCAGGGAACTTGGCTTTGATGACAACACACTCACATTGGAAGGACAAAAATACAGAAGTCAGCACCAATGGAACCAACAGTGGGACATGAATTGTTTCTGGAGAGCACCCAAAATGATACCTGAAGACTTCAGAGCCACACCAAACCACTAACTAATTCAAAATTTAATTTCAGTTAACATTTGAGATAGATTTCCTTTTCAACACTGAGAAGCTCAGTGTGCGGCATTACACTGTACCTATGTTGGGGAGGAAGACATATGAAAGTATAAATGTTTGTTTTTACAAAGACTTCAAGTCAAAGCACCTCACTGAGATGTCTGGCTGATGCAGAAACAAAGGAGCCGTGTGTCGACCCCTTGGCCTTGCTTTTATGCTGTATATTTTGGAGAATGTTTATTTTTTTTACGGTTGTGTAATTTAGCTCTCTGGTTCTGTTACAGCAGCACACATTAGGAGTGGGGGGTTGAACTTTGACACTGATGACAGTCTGGATATTTTCTTCAGCTAGTACTTAACATTAAAATATGTCCTGTGTGAAACTCACTGGCATGCTCATGGATATATGACTATAGGCACTGAAAAACCACCAACAAGAAGTTTTGCGAGTATAATTTTGGAGCTTCTTGTATTGAGAGTAAAGGTCAGAAGTAAAAGCAAATGCTTCTATGGGAACTGTTGGAGACAGCAGTAAATGCGTACAGACTGGACCGTCTCAGGGGAACATGTTTAGTCTGGCCCTTTACGTAAGACCCCAGATGTGGTTAAAGTCCAAGGATAAATGTTCTTGGAGCTGCTTAAAGCAGAAGGATAAGACAGGCATGAAGTAACACTGATTAAAGTAGCTGCACAAAACTCGCCCCCAGTTGGTCCATATGCCAGGCCTATTTCCCAATGGCGGGGGGGGGTTAAAATGTAAAAACCTAATGCAGTCTAGTACAGAAGTCCTCCCTTCATGAAGGTTAATTTGTTCAGTTTTTGCTGAAAATATTTAAGAGAAGAGACGGGATGATCATTTTAGACAATGGAGATTGTGGTGCTGGTGAGTTGTATTGCATTTTATACCCAATGGTATTTCTAATATTTTGTCCACCCCATTTATGTCAAAGAGGGTTTTCTACCCTTGTTGCAGGACTGTTGTGTTAGACCGACTTAGTTTTACCTAGGTGGATGTGATTAACTGGAAAAATGCAGACATTGGCGAAGTCCTCATTTAGATCTGAATTTAAACGATCTCATAACCGGCGTAACAAATCTGATCTATTTGATCTCCTAATTTTGATTCACCACATTTTTACATTTGAAATGGTAGGTAGGTACATGTATTAGGTAGAGCGCTACACAAAGTCAGAATAAAACAAATTTCAAGGTGATGCTGGGTCTCTGCTGTAATAGAACCATTTGTTTGGCTTGGTCCACATTCCTGGACTGACTTCATTATTTTTTTACAAATTCAAATAGTTTTAAAAGTTGATTTTGTTATAGTAAATTAAGTGCCAATGGTTAATATTTTCATGGAATAAAAATGTTTCAACCATAAAGTTGGTGTTCATCTCCTTTATCCTATAGTGGTGACTAGTGGGAGCTGCACATTTAAACCATCCTTCATCCACACTAAACAAAAATGGTGCCAAATAGCACTAAAAGTGGTTTATTGGCTCGTAATCAAAGGGGAACCAGTTTCGGTGCTATATAGCACCTATCTTTGAAGGTGCTATAAGGCGGCTATAAGGGGCGGCTGTGGCTCAGGAGGTAGAGCGGGTTGGGCCCGCTCGTCCCCCCTTTGCGTGTGAAAGTATCCTTGGGCAAGATACTGAGCCCCGAATTGCCGCCAGTGTATGAATTTGTGTGAATGTTAGTTTACGCACAGCAGGAGGCCTGAAGGAACTGTTTTGGACAAAGTTCACAGGTATGTTAACTGTCTGTTGAATTTTTTAGACTGTAATTTCTCCAATTTGGTACAGTAAAATGTTGTGATATGTGTACCAGTGGTAGTAGAGGACACTGTGAAGCAGAAGAAATTAAATTGGTGGTGTCACCTATGAAGGAACTGTTTTGCTGAAAGGTCAAAGTTCGCAGAAATGTTAACTGTCTATATAGTTTTCGCTCTGGAAGGGGTTTTTAGACTGTAATTTCTCCAATTTGGTACAGTAAAATGTTATGATATATGTATCAGTGATAGTAGCGCAAACTAGGAAGCAGAAGATATGAAATCGGTGTTGTCACCTATTAAGAAATTGTTTTTGTCAAAGGTCACTAAGAACATCACAAAAAACGCGTATGTATCTTTCAGTACCTTCGGCTCGCTCGTAGCCCGTCCTTACCATAATAACACTGCTTCAGGCGCATCAGAAATCCAATTGCGGCTGGTTTCACCACGGTTTTGCATGGCGCTGCAGCCCTTTACATTTCCCGCGATTGAATACTGACTCTGGCTGACTGTAAAATCATTTCTGGCTGTGTTTTAGCTGTGAAGGTAATAATGTCACTCTGTGTGATGTGTGTGCAAAGACAGTGAAATACTTTGGCAGCACTGCAAACTTTGCTAAACATCTGAGATAATATCAAAATAATATGATGATGTTATGAAGCAGCAGTTCTGAGCAGGATATTTTTATTACAATTAAAGAATATGACAAGATTGATATCTTGTCATTATGCAGCTATTATTTTGACTCAACTAACAAACATGTTTGCCTGATAACCCCAAGTTAACTCTGAGTAGGTTGAACTCCCATCGTAGTACAGGCCACAAGTCACAGTGCTTGACAATGCTGGTAACCCTGGAGTGCGGGTTTGGTGGGCCCAGACTGCATAGGGCACTCTGTAAAATCTTAAATCAAAGAAAGTCCCTAGTTTTATGTATAGAGGATGGTTGTAACACTTGTGTTACAACCCACCCCACCCCTGTCAGCCAATGTTGAGCTAGCGGTATTACCATAGTGGTTTGAAATTAGAATGGAAAAAATGCATCACATGTTGCCTGAGAAACTATATTTCAATCTAACATAAGTCAAAGAATTCTATCTGCAATAGTATTGTAACGGACTGGATACTAGTTGCAAGTTATTCAAAGAATATTAATTCATACAGCTCTCGTTTCGCAGGGCACCACCAGAGATTTAATTCTCCCAGAGTGTCCGGACCTCTAGGTAGCATTTTAATAATTATACAATTATGCACTAGTGATCAGTTAGTTAATAATCGCTCAATTATCCTAAATAAATCAGTCAGTCTCATATCGAAGGGGTAAATTCTTGTGGCAGGGACTTGGAGGTAGGCAATACAAACACAATTCCTGTGATTACGGTGAAATTTATTAACTAACTATGGTTAATGCGGTTAAATACACATCAAAGTGGGGCCTTTAAAGGCCCCACTGCAAGAAAACCCACACACACAGACCAATACCTACTCTTCGATTCACACCACCCACTGGAGCACAAGCTAGGGGTCATGAGAACACTGCACCACAGAGCGGAAAACATACCAACAAGCACCCAAGCCAGAGAGAAGGAACAGAACCACCTGAAGGGGGCACTTACAGCCTGTGGATACCCTAAATGGACCTTTGTGAAAACAGCCACAAGATCCAAGAAGAACAAAACTACAGGGGAGGAGGAAAAGAAGGTCAAACGCAACAACATTGGGATTCCATACGTGTCTGGAGTATCAGAGAAACTCAGGAAGATTTTCAACAAACACAACATCCCTGTGTTTTTTAAACCCAAGAACACACTAAGACAGATGCTGGTCCACCCCAAAGACCGCACACCCAAACACAAGAAAAGCAATCTAGTGTATGCGGTCCAATGCAGTGAGGAATGCACAGACCTGTATATTGGGGAGACTAAACAACCACTACACAAACGCATGGCTCAACACAGAAGGGCCAACTCCTCAGGTCAAGACTCTGCAGTCTACTTACATCTGAAGGACAGAGGACACTCGTTTGAGGACCACCAGGTGCACATTTTAGACCGAGAAGATGGATGGTTTGAAAGAGGTGTCAAGGAAGCCATCTGCACCAGGGTCGAGAAGCCGTCATTGAACAGGGGAGGGGGTCTACGCCACCACTTATCCCCCACTTACAATGCTGTCCTTTCATCACTTCCCAGGAAACTCAACAAACGTAACCTATTGGCCTCAGGTGAAGATACCAACGATGGTCGTTCAGTCTTGGCCACAGGTAGTCTTAACGACTGTAACGACTGTCGTTACAGCAACCAGGAACACTAACGAACCAGCGGTATCGATGACCCTGGCAAACGACCCCACTGAGGTTAAATAGCTGAGTTTCCCTGCCAGTCAGTCAGAACTGAAGATGTCCTTTGGATGAGGGACAAAATGTCTTCCAGTATCTTCAACCAAGTCCAGTTGCCCTTGACTTTAACCTTTGTTGGATAAAGCATTGGTTACAACATAAAATGAGGCAATGTCAGGGATCCTTGCTGAAAATTAAAACGCTGCAAAATTAACTTATTTAGATTCTTTTCAACAACAACATGGTGACATAACTACTAACCTAAGAGGCAAACGCCACTACTAACTTAGCATGGAATATTATTTAAACAGAACAAAACAGTTTAGAATGAAACTTTTTTTAAGAAGGCAGGAGTTATTAGTGTCCCCCCTTTCGCTGCCCTGGCTTATCACATTTGCACATCAGCTAAAAGAAAGAAGGGAGTGGTGTTTTATGGCTCAGCCGTTCTGTGGGAAAAAGAGTCAGGTTGAGGCCGGACGGGTGGTACTTTTGATGTCCGGAGGTGACCTGTGGAGAGAGAGGGGTTGGACAGCCCCTTTGCTGTCCTGCTAAGTGTCTCCAGTGACACCTTTATGGCTGAGAGGGGTTCATTAAGGCTCTTTGAATACACAGTCCTTAAGCTTCTCATTTGAGGGACGCTACACTGGTGTCAGAAGTGACGGACCAATTCGCCCACAGAGTTTCTTCTTGCTTCTCTACGAGCTAGCTGTTGCTCATAACTGGTATAAAACATGTCGCTTTATTTTATGGACAAGACTCTCGAGCCCCGTATGCTCACCCACAATGAAAACTCCCAGGTATGATAGCAAAACTAACTGGGAAGCATTCCATGCACAATTTGAACTGTTAGCTCAGGCCAGTGGCTGGTCTTCTTAAGAGAAAGCCCTGCAATTAGCGATGTGCCTTACTGGTGATGCTTTGTCAAGTCTTCTGCTACTAAGCCCTGCTGATAGGAGCAACTATGACGCTTTGGTTGGAGCTTTGAAGAGGCAGTTTGGGCTTTGCTCAGCAGCTAGCCTGCTGCGCTCTAAACTGTGCAGCCGCCAGCGACGACCTGGGGAACCGCTGAAGGATCTTTCCAACGACATTGAGGGACTAGTTCACCGCACCTACTCTCATATGCCTCCTCCCATCCAGAGTGAATTGGCCAGAGACCATTTCTTCCAGGCTCTGCTACCAGCTGACCTGCCGATCCAGACACTGCTGGCTCACCCCAGGTCCCTCCAGGAGGCTTTGGAGTTGGTTACAGAAAGAGAAATGCAGGGTACTGATTCTCTGGGAGTCATGTTTGACAGAACACCAAAGGTGAGAGCTGCAAGTGGGATTGAGTTGACTATAGCAGCACCTGCCTGGGTGGGGGAACTGACACAACTCGTCGTGGCTGCCACACTGAGGGAGGAACAGAGGCCCAGACTGCGTGCCAGAATCTGTTGGGGCTGTGGACAGCCTGGCCACCTTCTCCGTCATTGTCCCCACAGTAACGCAAACCAGGGAAACGACACGGGGACTGCATAACCAGGACGATGCGGATCCCTGGTTCTGTGTCCCGACCTGTACCAGGTGAGAAAACGGCACACTGCACAAACCAAGTGGGGGCGTTGCAACCGGTGGGTGATGTAGATGGTCAGCTCACAACTCATGGTGCTGGGCCGGACCTGGGTAGGAGACTGCTGGTACACACCTTTTACTGTGGATGGAACACGCTGCTCCGCGCTGGTGGACACAGGTTCTTCAGCGACTCTGGTGAAACCCGATGTGGTGGGAAATAAAACAACCATTTTTCCCACCATAGTGAAGCAGACAGTCACCAGGGAGTGAGCTCCCATGTAGGGGGAGGCCTTAGTGACCCTGGAGTTGGGGAAGGGGTTGATCCACTGTCCGGTGTGGGTCGTGGCCCTAGAGGACTGTATACTGGGGCTGGATGTTCTCAAGGCACTGGACTGTGTCATTAACACAAGGAGAGGGACCCTCACCTTTCCATATGTACATGTCATCCAGATGACTAGGTGGCCACCACACCCTGACTCCGCTGTGTCTCACACAGTGACAGTACTATTCAATTCAATTCAATTCAATTTTATTTATATAGCGCCAAATCACAACAACAGTTATCTCACAGCGCTTTTCATAAAAGAGCAGGTCTAGACCGTACTCTATGATGTTATTTACAGAAACCCAACAGTTCCCACCAAGAGCAAGCACTAGGCGACAGAGGCAAGGAAAAACTGAGCAGAGAAGCTAAAACAGGAGAAATATGATCTCTTTTCCTGGTTCCTG